TCCCTATTGCTAGGGCCCTGAAATCAGGCATCAGAGGCAACACATTTTGAGTCTCAGCATTGACTCCTTTCTCCCTGCCTCGTACTGCCCTCTGGCTTGGTCCTTCTAAGCCGCAATCTCTCCCTGGTTCCCCTTCCCACCCCCCCACCCCCCCAATCACAGTCTCAGAACGCCCCTCTGCTGAAGGCTGCTCAGCATTCTAGGAGCAAAGAACTCTGCCCTAACCCGCACCTGCTCCGCTGGGTCCAGCTCTCCGGGTGATTCCGGTGCGTGCTTTCGTGCTCTGGTTTCAAGGACCAGCTAATTCAGATGCCGTGTTTACTGACTAACAGGCCGCGGTCAGGATTTCAGAAACAGCTGGTTGAAAATAATTGCCTGGATTGGCTCTGGTGACCCCCCAGGAACCCACTCCACTTACATGTATGTTCTCCTCATTTATCATTTATGGGAACATGGGGTGTCCTCCACGGAGTGACACTTTGATATCAGACTTGCCAATGAGCAGCCACCACGCGCCCTGCCGCCTGCCATTCAGCCCAGTCCGCCCACATCCCGTGCAGCTCAGCCAACCTTCTCCCACACTCTGCTCTCAGGAGACAGGCAAGGGGAGGGTCCAGAGGTGCCATTTGCCCGTGCCAGCGGCGTACTTATTTCCTAGGCAGAGGAACCAAGGCAGAAAGACACGGAGAAGCTAACTCCTGCAAGGAGGCGCCGGGTGGGAAAGGCGATGCCTGCAGACTCCAACTCCAGCACCATGAACGTGTCCTCTGCTCACCTCCGCTTTGCCGGAGGGTACCTGCCCTCTGACTCCGAGGACTGGAGGACCATCGTCCCGGCTGTCCTGGTGGCCGTCTGCCTGGTGGGCTTCGTGGGGAACCTGTGTGTGCTTGGCATCCTCCTCCACAGGGCGTGCAGGGGAAAGCCGTCCCTGATCCACTCCCTGATTCTGAACCTGAGCCTGGCGGACCTCTCTCTCCTGCTGTTTTCGGCGCCTGTCCGAGCCACCGCCTATGCCAGAGGTGCCTGGGATCTGGGCTGGTTCGTCTGCAAGTCCTCTGACTGGTTCACCCACACGTGCATGGCAGCCAAGAGCCTGACAACCGTCGCGATGGCCAAAGTCTGCTTCATGTACGCGAGGGACCCAGCCAAGCACGTCAGTGTCCACGGCTGCACCATCTGGTCGGTGCTGGCGGCCGTCTGGGCCGCGGCTGGCCTGCTGCCCCTGCCAGAATGCTTCTTCAGCACCACCAGGCTTCAGGCTGGGGTGGAGATGTGCCTCGTGGACGTGCCCGCGGGGGCCGAGGTGTTCGCGTCCGCCTTCGGTAAGCTCTACCCCCTCCTGGTGTTTTGCCTGCCGTTACTCCTCGCCAGCTTTTATTTCTGGAGAGCTTACGGCCAACGTCAGAGACGAGGAACTAAGTCCCGCCATCTCAGGAACCAGGTGCGCTCCAGGCAGCTGACGGTGATGCTGCTCAGCATGGCTCTCACCTCGGCTGTCCTGTGGCTCCCCGAGTGGGTAGCCTGGCTGTGGCTGTGGCACCTGAGGGCTGGCAGCCCGGCCCCACCCCAGGGCTTTCTAGCCCTGTCTCAGGTCCTGCTGTTTTCCACCTCATCAGCAAACCCGCTCATCTTCCTCGTGATGTCAGGGGAGTTCAAGGAAAGCCTGAAAGGCTTGTGGAAACGGATGGTAACCAAAAAGCCCGCAGCTGCCGCCGCCGAGTCTCAGGAACCACCACCAGCTGGGGACCCGGAGGCCCTTCCTGACAATATTCCCTCCCAGGAGTCCCCAGTCTCCACGCCAGAGAAAGAGAAAACGGGCTCTCCTGCCTCCAGAAGAGAGAGAAGCCAGAAGGCAGAGATGCCCATCCTCCCGGATGTAGAGCAGTTCTGGCACGAGAGGGACACAAACCCTAGTGAACAAGACAACGACCCCATCCCCTGGGAGCATGAAGATCGAGAGACAGGAGACAGTGATAAGTGATGAAGTCTCAAAGCAACACTAATCTGCGACAATTGTATTTACTGGTACTGCTGCTAACCCACATGGCTGACTTTACCATATAAAACATAAGATAATTGCATTTAGGAGTTACAAAAATTGCTTCAGTCTGCATTTTCACAATGTGCAAGTGGGTACGTAAGTAGGACGCCACCTGAGAAGCAGTGATTGTTTCAGAACTAATGCCTGGCTGCCCAAAGGACGGTGTTGTCTGTGTGTGTCTAACACAGGGACTAGGAAGCCCCGCTCTGAGGTCCTGGCTCACAGGAGCTGTGTCCCTGGGTTCTCTCTGGGACCAGCCCTGTGCCGGCTGGAGTGCAGCCGGTCTAACCCTGAAGCCTTTCCTTCAGTTTCCTCCTGAGCCTGCTGGCCCTCACATCCCCTGTCGCATAACCAAAGCTCAGAATCCACTTCCACGTAATGAGGTTTTTCCTTTAACATGTTAATGAATACATTTCAATGAGTTACCTTCATTTGTTTAAAACAAGTACATTTACTTGATGAAAACGACTGAAGTTGCAGAATAAGGAACATCACTTTACAATTCTGGGCTCATTTCAAATCATAGCCAAGTTTAAGTAAATGCAAACTTCACCTTACACTAAAACCTGCTTTTGTTAATCTTTGTAATGCCACCTTGGTGAGTCTTCCGTTTCTAAGAATTTTAGAAGCTTAGTTGTGAGACTCTATATTCTGATATGGAGAAAGAACTTTAAAAACTACCCCTTTCTCTTCCCAATTATCGATTCTTCCCAAATACAGGAGACAGTTACTCTTCTGCAAGTTGAAATCAATCTGTTCCTCCCAATTTCTCCTTTCTCTCAAGATAAACTATATAAGCTATGTCTAGTGATATAGTTATCAATTACTGAAGGTAGTAATCAAATATTATAAAAGGATAGAGACAAACTTTCTAGTTAAATGGCATTTCATGCAGCCATAACATTGAACTTGAACCCTGCTCAACATTTAAAATGCCTCAGTGCTGGGCCAAGAGGGCATATACCGGAGCTGCAGGCTTGATCCCCATTAGAGGGTATGCAGGAGGCAGATCAATGATTCTCTCATCACTGGTTTCTCTCCCTCCCCCTTCTCTGAAATCAATAAAAATGTATTTTTAAATGGCTGTTTTTAAGTTATAAAGATGATCAAGAGTAACCAGAAAAACACACACACAAGGGCAATGCAAAAAAGCAGTAAAACGAAACTGTTGTGTTCCCAAACATCCAGTAAAATTTGACTGTTCATTTCACAGCCAGTTAAAGCACACCCCGAAAGACATGATTATGATGCATTTCTTCATCTATGAAATATAGACATTTATCCATGGTTATTGATTACTCTGTAATGGACTTGGGGGTATTCTCACTGAAGGATCCCCTCGGGGGCGGGGGTGGGAGGACTGTCTTTAGGACATGCAATGAAGAATTTGAAATACAAAAAATATGCTGTGGATGGAATTTTTATTTTTTAAAAATGTTTTTCGTTTTATGTTTGTACAAATGGTCATGGTTTAACACAAAAAATAGGGCTCTTTTCTTTTTACTTGGTTCATTACAAATTTTATTCTAAGGCTCACATGATCAAATTCCAATTTAACCTAACTATCCAAAATATTGTTTTTGTGATGATAGTTATACACAGGGATTCCCTTTAAAATTGTCTGTGATGAACTATTTGAAGATTTTATGCACATCATATATAATAAATGTAGGCTGTAAGATTCCAGTGTTGAATAGTTTTACAAAGATAAAAGGCATTGTTTCACTTCAGATAGTTTGCAGAATTACAGTCTTTGTCTTGAATGCTCCTTTCAAAACTCATTACTTGGCACGATGGGTTTTAGGGGGAGGTCAGATCTTAAACATGGTTCTCTGGGTAAACTGAATCATTAATTTTTAAAGAATTTGCTGATAAGCAGCAAATCCAGTTACAGATATTGAAACTGTAATTACAACCCTTTCATTAAGTACCGAACACAGAGTCCTGACTTGATTCCTTAAAGAAATCTGCATAGCATCTGATTTGCTACTTGAATACTTAATCCCAAATACTTTACCACAAAGTAGGAAATGAAATATCACCAGACCATTTTCTTCACACTCCCTATTGTGAGAAACAGAAAAATGCTCTGTGGAACTGGAAATGACAAAACACTGCACAAGTTCCACCTTTGCAGGACATATTCCTATCCTAGTTGTGCTCCTTTTGTCAAACACTTCCATTTCACTCTCATAGAACTTAAAAATCACTCAATAAATTTATAAAAATGAACTTCAAAAAAAAAGGGGGAGAAAGATGAAAAAAGTCCTATTAGCAATTTTACACGTTAAGACCTTAGTGAAATAATCCCAGCCACTACATGCCGAGTTCATGTAAGTTGTGTGGCTACGTACAAAGTAGCCCAGATGTGAATGTGTCTAAGTATGTGCTGTGTAGTGCATAGAACATGTAAATGCAGACTGTTGGTATGCCCTCCTTTTAGGTTTTGCTACAATCACAGTATGTGTAAGATTAACAGACAAAATAATTACCCTACTGACATACTTTTCTAGACATTTTATTTATGTGGTACACCGACACTAGGCACCTATGAAGGAACGGAACAGAAGGATCTTTTTAAACCGGGCGGTCAAGCTACGCAGAGTAACTGGAAGGCATCCAAGGCGCAGCTCCATGCACGGTGCGCCTGACACACTGAAAGGTGCCGAAAGCATTAACCACCAAATCCTTTCATATAAAAGGCAAAAACAAGAACACAAAAAGCAGCTTCTTGCTATAAAGCAGTAAGATATTGCTAAGAGACTGAGCACCAAAATGTTCTTTACAAATCCCATCCCTTTTGTAAATAATTTATTATATTCAAGCCTTTCAAAACTATGTGATATCCCAAGACTTAGTCAACCTTTCTTTGTACCAAATTACATTTGCTGCTGCTTTTAGGAGCAGGTTTAAAAAAATTTTTTTTAATATTATATAACATAATCATATACAATCCACATATAGAAAAAGGGTTGGTTTATTGTAGTTCAAATACATAAACTGAACATTCAACATCTTAAAATTAAACTTTAGAAACAAAAGTTTAACATTCAAACAGGAGTACAGTTTACAGGGAACACCCAAAAAGGTAATCTGTTGTCTAATCCAGAATATTGATAAAGATCACTTAATGGTGAATGTGTTTAACCAGCAGTTCTATTCTGGCCAACATATTAGTTATGACCGTGGCTCCATACCTGAGAAGAAATTCCTAAATAAATCTTCTCTTAGGCTAAACAAGACTTGGCCTATAATTCAGAGGGGATAATCAAAGCTCGTAAGTGAACAAATAAAACTAAAGTGTTCTTTAGAGACAAAGGTAAAAGTATGTCCATTATAATAATCTTAACCTCTGGAAGATAAGAATTCCATTTTCAGTGTTTTCTCTTTTACCCGCTTTGAAAAACAAAATCAAAACAAACCCCAGCCTATGTTTTTTGGGAGACTGTGGTATTTGTATCTTGCAAGTTCAAACCACAAATGATCTTATGTCTTGCATGTATAACACTGCTAGAAAGAACGTCACCAAAAGTCACTGACTTCCACACCTCATAAAAGGATGATTTTTAGCTTCAAGATTTTAGATTTACTAGAGACAGCCTATATTTGAGTATGTATGTCAGTCATGCCACACAAAGAAAAGCATAAATATTTCCAAAGTGTTCTCTGTTCAGCAACTGTTCACGAATGCTTCTCCTTCTGTTCATCAGATGGTTTTGCAATAGTTTGACTAATGCACATACATGTAAAAAAAACCTGAAAATTGGCTCATGCAAGCATTTTGAAGTAATAGAAGCCCCCGTGGAAGAGTATGCAGGGTTATTTTGTTGATCGTCGGGTGGGCTCCGATGCTGTGGGAGGGGGCGGAGGGCCCCGGCGGTCCAGGTCATCCACATACGCCACGATCAGCTTCCGCCTCTCCTCTGGCACACAGTCTAGTACGAGATACCGTTTGTCGTTCTGCAAAATTTTTTCAACGTCTTTCAGGTGCTGATCAGATTCCTGGATTAGCTTTTTGGATCTGAAATAAGAAAAGAAGTCCAAGAATTACTGACTGCTGTTCACAGGCCTTTCAGAGATGAGCTGGAAATGTCCATCTAGTTCCTAATTGTGTTTCCACTTTTTTAATATTTTTTTTTTTTTAGAAAAATTTCACTGCAATGGTCACCTTTGTAAGTCGCCTCAGCAAAGACTCCAGGGAGTGAAAGGGCCTCAGAAGCTGAATTACCCTCCCACCCCTACTGGTGGGCCCTCCAGACCAGGGCTGAGGGTGGGTGGGTGAATCTTGCCCGTGCTGTACCTGTTCTGTGGATGAACAGAGGACTTCAGTCTGCGGGGCTGCCAATCCCAGCATCTTTCACAAGCTTTCACTTTCACATCTTTCACTAAATTAACTACAAAAATGTAGAAAGAAGTCTTACTTCACATCTAATTTAAAAGCCCAAGCTGATGCAAAACATTATGGATCCTGACCAAAAAAATCCAATGACAAAGAACCTAAAAACCACACCCTCAGCACTACCTAGCCGCCCGTGCACATACCCTTCATAAATGTTTCTCATTTTTCTCTTAGAGGAAAATCTGGAGCATGAACCAACAACGGTTTCCTGCACAGACTACTAACCAATGTCAACTTGTTCTTCTACTGGGATGGGGTCGACTGGGCATGCTACAGTGAAATGCTGTTTTAAAGCTCCGAGTTTATCATTTAAAATCTTTATTTAAAACTATTCAGCGAACTGCTTTCCTCTGAGGAAAAAATGTTTTTGCTGAGCTTGGATGATTTCAAGCTCCCAAGTGTTCAGCAACACTGAGTAGTCTTCAGAGGAGGTGAAGACAACTGACAGTGAAGGATTATTTAAAGTTGGAGAACTTCTAAAAAAGCAGTGAAGTAAAAACAGAAGTCTGTTTAAAAAACTGGATGGGTGGGTAATACAAAATAAGAATTGGTATCTGGGCCCTTTCTTAAAAAAAAAAAAAAAAAAAAAAAGTAAGGTAGAGATGGGTTTGTCTCTGGTCTTTGATAAAAGTTGGCTTCTTATCCTTAGAAGTTAAAATGTTAACGTGTGTGAATGCAAAGTATGCCTTGGCCATTCGCGTAAGAACTAGTAAAGATAGGAAGTGCTGACATGAAACATTCCATTGCACACACCTATATGTTATAAATTTGGTCTCTTTCAGAAGCGTCCTGAAGTCGGCTTTGGCAGTGATGTATTTGTCTCTGATGTATTCTTCAAACTCTCTTTGTTTTTTCTGAAAAAAGAAAGTAAGATTAGAAAGAAAAAAATTTCCAAAATTAATGCCATTTATAAAACTAGAAATGTGAAAAGTCACATCGTAAACCAGAAAATTCTAAAGAAAAAGGCAGTAAGATACCTTTATTTGTGTTCCTGTAACATTCATTAAAATAGAAAACCTGCCATGTACATTGTAAGACAAAAAGAAAGCAAGATTGCAGAACCATATATTACTAACAGGTAAAACTTCAGGGCTTGCTCAATGCTACCGTGTGCTTATAGTTTATGAGGCGATTCCTTTTCATCTTCACGAGAGCCTCAAGTGGTAGACAAACACTTTTAAGAAATAAAGAAATGTGCATTTCCTGTATTTATATCTTCAAGTACAAAAACATTAACGTGATATAATTTATGAATACACTAACCATAACACTCAGAATTTTAGATATACTGAGCATTTAGCTTTTCTAGTAATTGTTGTGATAGGTATAAACTTTTTGGGCTAAAAAAAAAAAAAAAAAAAAAAAAGACATTATCATCAATTCTAAACAATCAGAAAAGTTAGAAACCGAGACTGAACTCTCAGGTATCAATCAGTCTACCTCTCTAACCCAGCCCCGTATATTTTGTGATCCAAACATCTCAAACACAACCTAACAGGGTTTGAAAAGGAGGAATATTAGATCTGTGGGTTTCTGGACTCAACTACAGAAACCAACTAGGAAAGGAGAATGAATGGTGGGAAGAAAATACAAATAAAAGTGCAAAGTATAAAATGGACTTCAATAAGCCACACTTTTCTTTTTGTATGTTTATTTAATGGAACTCCAAGGTTTTTATTGTTTTTGAGAGAAGAAGGGATGGGGAAAGAGAAATAGAAATATTGAAGAGAGAGAAACATCACTGATCCATCCTGCATGCCCATAGGGGACTGAGCACACAATCTGTGCATGTGCCCTGACCAGTAATTGAACCGGTGGCCTCTGGCTTCCTGGGCAGATGTTCAACTGCTGAGCTACATCAGCTGGGCTTACTGATTTTTTCTTTTTTAAAACACCACTTTTCTTGACATTGTTCACTATTTCAGACCCCAACTGATTTTGTTCCTAAACAGGAGTTAGAGAGCACCAGAGCAAGGCTCAGCTAACAAACTCCCCACATCCGCAATTCCTCCATTCGAGTTTCAGAAGCAAATAAGAACTAGAGATCACACAGTAATGGAATGAAGGATTCCCTCAGGGGGGAATAATTTAAAAAAACAAAAAACAAAAAACACTCAAACCCTATGGCTCTGTTAAATCTCCAAATCCCAAAACATAGCTTTAACTCCAAGGATTTTTTTTTTTAAGTTTCCATTGTGCTGTCTTGTTAATATATTCATGCAAGAAAAAAAATATGAACTTAAAATTCAAATTTCTCATACACTTAAAAAGCTCAGACAAAATCCTCTTACCCTGTCACTGGAGGAGAACTTAATGCACCGAGGGTCTTCCTTGATGATTTTTTTTACTTCTTTCCATGTGGATGTTAAGGTAATCTTTAAAAAGACAAGGGAATGAAAACATAAATACGGCTCGCTTTTACTGAGGGGTCAGACTGCAGCATGTATGGCATACAGCACTACTCACTGCCCTGCGAGCTCCCCAGCATAACTGCACTAGTCAGGGACAGGGAAGCAGCTTTCATGCCACAAGAGTTCTTTTCATGGACACATTTCCCAAGTGGCCTAAGACAATCACCTGCAAACCCTCTATCTCCAGGTGTAATACCCTAATAAGTGGTCAGCAAACTGCGGCTCACGAGCCACATGTGGCTCTTTGGCCCCTTGAGTGTTCTAACGCCACTTCTTCAAAATAGACTCACCTAGGCCAAAAACTGACTTCTGCACATGGGCCACAAACTTTCAATCGCATGTAGTATTTTGTGGAAGAGCCACACTCAAGGAGCCAAAGAGCCGCATGTGGCTCTCAAGCCGCAGTTTGTCGACCACTGCCCTAACTTCTGAAGAAACCATTACCTAGAGAGCAGGCCAACAGGAGCAAAACCTGGGCAGAAGAGTGTAAACACTGCCAAACAAGGGGGCTATGGGGCCAAATTGAAAATAAGGCAAAAGAAAGAATTTATCAAATCAATTATCAGGAGGGACCAATGATCACATTCTGAACAAGCACAGGATCAGATATGAACTTGAAAACTGCATAGAAAAAAAAAAGAAAACTGTCATAACCCATGAATTCCGGTCATGGATCTAAAGACCACGACAGTAAAAATCATACTTTGGGATTAACAAATATCCATGTACATTAGAACAGGAAAATTATCTCTTACTGCAGAAGTTTCATCCAGAAGTTGCCTAAAGTGCTCCCTCTTCTTTTTGGTAAGTGCTTCAATGTGTTCATTAAAAAGCTTCTCTTTCTCCTCTCTCTCCAACAAGGATCCAGACTCCCAGCGGTGATCTTTCCGGAGGGTCCTCCGAGTGTCTGACCAGGACACATCTGAAGAACGAACCTGAAACAGAACACCAGACCAGAAAGGCTCCTTTGTTTAGGAATCATACAGTTAAAAAACAAGCTGATGGTGACATCACCTTAGTGAATACATCACTGAAAATCTGCTTCTTTGGGCCAGAAAACTTACCTCTCAGACCTCACTTAAGCTGTCAAATGTTGGTTTAGAGGTGGAGAAGGAAGAGAAGCTATCTCCCACCAACCATGGTCTGTAATCACTTTAACAGTACTTAGCTATTGTACGTAACATCTTACCAACTTCTAATAGAAAGGATGGATGAATGAAATAGGAAATACATTGTTTTATTGTAGCACCTAGCAGCTCAAGGAGAAAAACACTCAACAAATCTTGAGCTAAAATTTGGACTTATCAACTGTATACTGGAAGTGACACTTCCAAGAATAAGCAAGAAGTAACTTGGTTAAGAAGACTTGAAAACAGACCACCAGATGGGGCTAGCTGGTTCACCAGCCAGCAGAAAGGTATGCTCCAATGCTGGTAATGGCATTAGCAGTTAGGTCACACTGCTGCCAACGCTAAGAAATTTGGAGGCTGAGCCGAAACCGGTTTGGCTCAGTGGTAGAACGTCGGTCTGCAGACTGAAAGATCCCGGGTTCGATTCCAGTCAGGGGCATGTACATTGGTTGCGGGCACATCCCCGGTGGGGGGTGTGCAAGAGGCAGCTGGTCGATGTTTCTCTCTCATGGACGTTTCTAGCTCTCTATCTCTCTCCCTTCCTCTCTGTAAAAAATCAATAAAATATATTTAAAAAAAAAAAAGAAAAAAAAAAGAAATTTGGAGGCTGAAAAGACAGAAAGGTAAGGAAAAAAATACAAACACTTATCAAGCCTCTAAATACGTGTCAGGTAAACACTATGCTTGGCACTGGCAATTCAAAATAAATAAGATGCTATCCCTTTCTTTAATGGGCTCACTCATTTTAGGGAAGACAACAACTGCAGTAACATGCAGGGAGCGCTGCAAAAGTCTAAGCTGAGCACAGTATTAAAGCAACAGTAAGATCAGATGTGCCCGGAGGGGCTGGATCAGCCCCAGACAGGTACTGTTGAGTGAGGAGGTCTGCCACCATGGTGGGAATTTGAAAGCACTCTAGGTGGAAGGACTGGAATGAGCAGTGGCAGGATTTGTTAAATTCATTAAAGGTTAAGCTCAGCAAGGCTGGAGCCTAATTAGGGGAAAATAAAACACCAAAGCTGTTAAGGTAATAATGGGGGGAGAGGGGGGCAGCCAAGCAATGAACAGTCTTTTTTTATTATGCTAAGAGACTGAATTTGAGGAAGACCCCAACCTTCTGCAAGCACAGGGAAGAGTCACAAAATCAGATCTGCCTTTTACAAAGATTTCTGTTGTTACAATCAAGATAAATTGGGGGGAACAGAAGCAGGGAGAGAAATAAGGAAATGACTCTGACTGTCCAAAGAAGAGACAAAGGAAACTAAAAACTGATCACAGAAGCAAGGGGAGAAATCTAAAGACTGGACAGGAGTGATCTGAAGAGCCACTGACAGGAACAGCAGGAAAGATGGTGACAAAGGGGGAAAAAACAATAGAACAGCAGAGTGGTCTGGAGTATTCTCTGTAGGGACCTCATACTCTACTTATCGCAACAACCCTGGGTAGTGCAGAAGTATTTTCAAGAAAGTTCCAGGGTATCTCCTGGAGTCAGCACCCCCACAAGTCCTACTTCTCATACCATCTATAGAGACAATAACTGGTCATCACAATGATGACTCTACATCACCAACAAAAAGGGTGAATTAGCCTGGTGATGTGGCCTCAATGGTTGAATCGGGGGGGGGTGGGGGTGGGGGGGAGAAGAAGAACAATTGTAATAATCTGAACAATAAAGAATTATTAAGTAAAATAAAATAAAGGGTAAATTATGCCTGGCCAGAGTGGCTCAATTGGTTGGAGCAGTAGAAGGTCCTGAGTTTGATTCTCAGTCAGGGCACGCACTCAAGTTGTGGGTTCCATCCCTGGTCTGGGTACGTTCAGGAGGCAACTGATTAATGTCTATCTCTTTTTCTTTCTCTCCCTTCTTCTCTAAAATTAAAAAAAAAAAAAAATTCTTAAAGAGGTCAATTTTGTTCAGCACACTTGCTTCTTACTATGGCCTATAAGTGTAACTTTAAGATGACTTATCAAGGGGAGGAGGGGAAAGGAACATTTGTAATAATATGAACAATAAAAATTTATTAAAAAAAAAAAAGATGACTTATCAAGACCAATAAAAATAAAGCTTTGACACTAAAAGATTGTGAATTTTCATATAAATAAATGATCTCACTTCTGAAAATGTTAAAATACTAGGGTTTGCCTGTCCCAACAGGGCTAATACCAAGTACTCAATTGTAAAAGAGTTTATAAATAACTTAGCAAATTGTATCTGTCACAGTCAGCTTAAAAAATATTAAAATGTTTACTATGAGGTAATGTAATAGATTTCTAACAGCCAGTACTTTACAGCAAAAATAGTGGAAGAGCAATAAATACCATGTCAGACAGAAGTGCCTTGAAGTTCTGGATGGCTTCTTCCCGTTTGTGCTGCTCTCTCTCTCGATCTATTTCTTTCGTTTGTTCGGACCGAGCCTTCTGGACCTCTCTTTCGCGTTCCCTAAGGCTAGCCTCAATGCGGGCTTGCCTTTCAAGCTCCTTTTCTTTTTCTGAGTCTAAATTCTGTAAAAGTGGAATTACATTATCCTTTTTACCAACTGTATCAAAATGTTTCCACAAAATATTGTAACTAAGTTTTTCAAATACAAAATTTTAACCTACCAAGAATACTGTATATCTAAACACTGTAACCCATTTCCAAATCAACTACTAGATTCTTATAGTAAGAATATCAACAGGAGCCCTAACCAGTTTGGCTTAGTGGATAGAGCATCGGCCTGCGGACAGGTTCGATTCTAGGTCCCTTGAATGTGTTCCGTACAAGGGCACATCCCCAGTAGGGGGTGTGCGTGAGGCAGCTGATCAATGTTTCTCTCTCAATGATGTTTCTAGCTCTCTATCCCTCCCTCTGCTTTCTTCTCTGTAAAAAAATCAATAAAATATATATTTTTTTGGGGAAAAAAGAATATCAACAGAAAAATGGCAAACCTCCAAACAGCAGCGAATACCATCATAATGCAATTAAGGATTTTATTATTCCAATAGTGGCCCAGTGCACAAAATTCGTGCACTTTAAAAGGGGATTAATTAGAGGAAATATTTTAATATTGCTATTTGCCCTTTTTCTATAGTAAAAGGGTCAGAGATGAAAAAAACTTAGTAAAATGTATATGAAAATCTTCCATCTGTCAGAATCTGGGGCGCACCACAGGACTCAAGAGTCCAGTCCCCATCCACCCACATGTGCCTCAAAATTGCACGAGACCCAGACCTGGCCAGCAACCCCCCATTGGCCTAGATCCAGACCTGGCCGGTCCCACCCTTGTCAAGCCCCGCCAAGCAGTGGAGGGGAGCCTGTCAAGCACTGGGGGGGTGGCGCGTAGCCTGTTGCCAGATGAGGGGAGTAGCCTGAGGTGTCCCGGCCCAGCACCAGGGCAGGGGGGACGCACCTTGAGGTCCTCCATCAAGCTCAGCCAGACGGGGGGAGCAGCCTTAGGTCCCCTGGCCCAGTGCTGGGGCGGGTGGTGGTGGTGGTGGGCATGTGCAGCCTGAGGTACCCAGTCAAGACCCAAGGAGGGGGGGCGAAGGGGGGAACCTGCAGCCTCAGATCCCTGCTGATTGCTCCTTAAGGCTAATTATGGGAACTCACAGGTGCAGCCATCTTTGTGGCAGGGTGCCAGTCAATTTGCACATTCCTGCTTTATTAGTAGTATGTTTAAAGGACAAGCAGCCCAATAGTTACCTTGGCTATTTTTTCAATATACTGTTTGAAAAGGTCTTCTCTCATTGATGAACTGTCCACTGCTTTGTAACGTGGATCACTTTCTACTTTGTCTTTTACTTTGCTCCATCGAGACTGACTGTCCAGGTGATGATTAGATAATAATTCAAAGAAATCTGATTTAATCTACATTTCAAAACAAGATGAAGGAAAAAAATGAGAAATTCTTCATACTAAATTTTACAATTAAAAAAAAAATTCACTTACCTTACGACTATTTTTTTTAATGCACTTACTCAGGATATAATAAGTTTTAGTAAAAGAGGATATCAGAATTACTCTTTCATGAAATATAAAAATCAACACACAGAGGCCTTCATTTTAAATATACCAAATTCAAGATAAGTTGTGTTCTCTAATAAAATTATTCAAATATAGAAAAAACTTTTTATGTTGTTTATAATATTTGATATCAGAACTGCTATATTTCATAAGGAATTTGAATTTACTTTTAGCAAAGAATCAGCTTATAAACTATAGTAAAATACTTTAACATAAAGCTGGTAAGAATGCTTCATTTTAAAAAGTAGATGAATAAAATTTTTGTTTGTTAAAAATAGGATTTAGAAACAATTGAGCCGAAACCGGTTTGGCTCAATGGATAGAGCGTCGGCTTGGGGACTGAAGGGTCCCGGGTTCGATTCCGGTCAAGGGCATGTACCTTGGTTGCGGGCATATCCCCAGTAGGGGGTGTGCAAGAGGCAGCTGATCGATGACTCTCTCTCATCGATGTTTCTAACTATCTCTCTCCCTTCCTCTCTGTACAAAATCAATAAAATATATTTTAAAAAAAATTTTTTTTAGAAACAATTGAGCACAAATAGCAAGTCTTATTTATTATAAACCTGAAATTTTCAAATATCTAAAAACAAAAAAACAAGTTTAGTCATTACTAAAAAAAAAAAAAACTGCATTCAGATTTTCTGTACTTTTTAGTCATTAAACATGTATGCCTTCACCATTACACAACTTAGAATATGTGTCAACAAAGTAACATACTTAATTGAAGTACCAAGTTAGTAATATTATATCAAAGGTATTAATAGTATCAAAATATGCAATACTTAGAAACCCTATCTCAAACTGTATGTATATATATATGTATTAAAAAAAAAAGGGAGGAGGGGAAGAAAGATAAATGAGGCATTTATTTTATGATCCTTTGATGATGTGTTTTAAAATTAGGCTCATCTAAATTATTTTGTGTTCCTCCCAGAAAAGATATCAAGATAGCCAAAGTCCTTTCAGCAGAGGATTTTGATCACGTCAGGAACCTCTTCTCTTCATAGAGATTAAACATACTGCCTTCCCTCCTGACCAAGGGAATGATAAATTAGGAATGGAATCAGAATTTTCAATGTGTGGGCACAAATAAATAATCATTCTTTCTGCCTATTCCAATCCTCTCATCTCCTCCTATAATCTCATTTCTCCTATTAAAGGATTGAAGGGGAGGTCTATGTCCTTTCTGAAAAACACTTATAAGATTATAAGAAACCGTTTCTACATTAGAGAATTTAAAAAAAGTTAAGAACTAATCAGCTGTGGATTTCAGTAGTGGCTCTTGCCTTTGTGTGGATCATAAACACAGCATTTGCAGACAGTGATAAAGAAACCACTTGATGTAGTGATATAACATAAATTACTGTTCATCTTGTCTACTTTGTATCTGAGATGATAAACACCAAATTCCTACATGCATGTTATAACTAGAAGGCAAAATTTATAAAATTCATGCTAAATAAAGACATGCAAGCTGTAGTAAACAGGAATCTTTCTAAGCCACATGAATTTACATGGACTTAAAATCATTTTCAAATATTAAAAAACAAAGCCTATAAAGTCAAAATCATCAAAGTTTTTTAAATGTGTGATATATAGCCAAAGTCAACTTTAACTAAAACTTGATTTCCAAATATGAAAGTGCCTTCCCATCTAAGCTGTTTAAATAGGGAAAAATAGTCTCTTTAACCTTACGATGTACTGTAATAAAAATATTTAAATTGTTCAGCAGGAAATTTGAAGTAGAAAAGAGAGAAAATGCCAATTTCATAAAGAGTTAACTCCATTATGTATAAATTCAAATGTGTTTTTCCAAAAAGTAAATTATTTGAACCACAATTTTATAAAAATTGGCTAAAGTAATAAATAAATTATAATAAACAAAAATGTAAGGGTAGCTACTGGGGCGGGGGAGCGCACCTAATAAAAATAGAGTTTGGGGGCATTTTTTAATAAAATTGAAAATTACCAGCGAAGGCTACATGAAAATAATTGTTACCTTTAGCTTGAAAATGCCTACAGAAGGAAAACACAATATTTCACTAAAGCCAATGTCCTTCACAGGCTTTACTTTGCAGCTACTGATTCTATTAGAGAATCCAAAGAACAAAAAAAATTCCAACCTATCAGCATGATACTGGGTGCTGATCTTACTCATCAATTACACAGTTAAAATGTGATTTTAAAAAACCGTATAGACAATATACTTTATAAGAATCTACAGGTAAGTCATGAAGAATGTGACAAAACTTCATTAACCAACCACTTCTCAGAATGTGAATTTAATAATACTATATTTAGACCCTTACTTTAAAAAGATTTCTGCTTTCATGGCCTAGTAATTGATTATGCATTCTTTAAGCTAGCTGAGAAAGTTTTACTTTATTTTAAAATTTAGTAATGGTACAGAACCAAACCTATAATTTAAAGAATTAAAATTTACAACCAGAGAAAATAAAACTGAATATATTAGGGTTATTTAGAAGTAATGTCTATTTAACTTCTTATTTTAATTAACACATTCTGGGCACAACTGTCATCACTTTATAAGGAGAAAAACTAAAAAAGTGTAAAGTACTTGAACTACGGGAGGATAAAGTCATCACACAGAGAGATATCAATTCTTTCCTCACTAGAGAATCTCATAATACTTTGCGTATCAGTGACTGACAGCTATCAGACTGAACTGACTGACAGGTCGCACAGCAAAAAAACTGTAAAGTCTAACCACTTGTTATAAAACAGAATACATAAAATAAGTTGCATAAAAAAGTGTTTAGGGAAAAAAATTAGTTACAAATGCAGAAAGAAAAACATTCAGTTTGTATAAAAGCAATCATATAAATCATACAATATCAATCATCTATTTACTTGATTTTCCTTAACAAGTAAGTTATAACTAAAAGTCAAAAGTAGCAAACAATTCATTAAAGTGTTTCTAAAACAACACATAAAATGTTCAAGTAGAAACCAATTTTGCATTTTTTCTGTAAAGCATAATTGCTTAACAAAAAAAATATTAATACTGAAATAATTTTGGAAAAATACATTTTTGAAACCAAATAAATCAAGAAATTTCAGATTATTTCTGGAAAAAAGTTATTTCATCTAATACCATTGCTGTTTTCAATGAAAGATACTTCTTCCCAACAAGAGTGGTATTATCTCCCTAACAACATTTAATAGAATTTGTAGTATTTTAACTTCCTGGAACAAGAGGCAACTCTAAAGGTTAAGAATGATTAGGCTTCAGAGGTTTTCCTCCATGCACAAAGCATGCAGGGGCACTAAGGCAGTGGCTGCTTGTTTTGATGGCTCACACACCACTGGTGCCATCTCCCTACCCGTCGGCCTCCCCAGTGGTGAGCTCCTCTCCACTCCTGACACTGCTACCAAATGACATTTGAAGTTCATTAATCTTTAATAGCTGACCTTTAATTCTGATAAGCAATAATTTATATGTAAGACATGTTTATTAAAAGATTAGAAAGTCACTAAAATGCTGTTAGAGGGCAAAAAAGACGAAGAAGGCTCTGAGATTTAAATGTTACCACCTATAAAGAATCTTGGAATTTTAGCGGGCACTTAGCTGGCCAGTGAACAGATAAGCCTAACAACCAGTTCTGGGTTTGCCAGGCATCTCAGTATTAATAAAATTTAAAGCAACCCTTGGTAGTTTAGTGAAGCTACTAAAATAAGCATTATGGAAAGTGATAGAATGTACACACATAAACAATTAAAGTCAATTTAAAAGGCTAACCAGTAAATGTGGGTCCTATTGCTATTTACGTTCATGAATGAGACAAGAAACACAGCACCAGCTTAGTCCCTCCCTATTCGCACGCATTCCCATCAATCATGCCACTGGGAACGAAAACCATCTTACCTTCTCCCCTCTCGTCTTTGAATCTTCTTTCTCTTTTTTTCTTGCAGCTGCCACAAATTCATTAAACAAGGCTTCTCGATCTTTCATCTTTTCAATTGCTTTGAATCTTGAATCTTTAGCATGCTTGGCTGCAAATTCACTAAAAGTTGCTCTGTAACAAAATGACAAGTGTGCTAACTTTGACAGGGCTATTTCTGCTTGTAGAAAGGTATAGCAGAAGATACCATTTTCCCAGCAAGAATGTGTGCCAAAGAGACACTGAGTCCCAATATCTGCTTAAACACCAAACAATGAGCTACTGAAAGGAGTGCAAAGGGCTAAAGGGTGAAAATGTGGTTAGAGATCTGTTTACCATCAGATTGGTGGTAGACAGATCTGCACATCAGAGAGCAAAGAATGTCTGGGCTTCAAGAGACTTAACCTAGTTCTTCCTAAGAGGAGACCGAGTCCTGCTTCTAGCCATGATGAAATACCTTTTACTGAATTAGCTCTTCTTCCATAAACTATGAAACAGGACAAAATACACAAGGCAACTGATTTCACACAGCAGATAACAGGTAAAACAAAGCACTGCCCTCTGCCTTGGGTCAATTTCCAAGGTACTGAGAACTAGTGTTCAAGCAGAGTACAATGATCTCAAGCTGGGAACAGCAAAGATCAGAGTTTGGGTGCTAAATGCAAGAGAAAGAAGCCACAGAGAGGGTACCCCCAAAAAACATCACATAGGATTCCCCATGAGTCCCCAGCCAAGGCCGAGGTGTACATAGCAGAAAAAGACCTCTCCTGTACCAAGAGAGAGACTAGAGACTGAGAAGTGCTTCTCTCTCTCTCTCTCTCTTCCCCCCTCTCCCACCTTTCTCCATTCCTTCCACTTAAAAAAAAAAAAAAAAATCACAAGGGAGACAAAGTTGGAAGGTTAAGAAAACTATTTTTCAGTTTCTGAGATCCACACTAACAAAGCATAAAATCAAACCTAAAATTTCCGTGATGCACCAATTAATTGAACTGCCTGCTAAAAAAAAAGAATTCATACTCTTCAGAGAAAAATAACACACTCGAGCCTCTACCTGTTATTCACAATTTCCAATATTCAATTAAAAATCACTAAACAGCCAAAACTGGTTTGGCTCAGTGGACAGAGCGGCAGCCTGGGGACTGAAAGGTCCCGGGTTCGATTCCAGTCAAGGGCATGTACCTTGGTTGTGGGCACATCCCCAGTAGGGGGTGTGCAAGAGGCAGCTGATCGATGATTCTCTCTCATCGATGTTTCTAACTCTCTATCCCTCTCTCTTCTACTCTGTAAAATATCAATAATATATATATATTTTTTTAAAAAATCACTAAACAGCCCCCCCGCTGGTTTGGCTCAGTTGATTGGAGCGTCGTCCTGTACACCAAAAGGTTGTGGGTTTGATTCCCAGCTGGTGCTTATACAATAGGTAACATGTCAATGTTTCTTTTCCCTCTCCTCTGTCTCCACCTCATTTCTTTTCCCCTCTCTCTAAACTCAATAAACATATCTTCAAGTGAGAAAGAAATTTTTAAAAATCACTAAACATACATGTTTCTTTGTATGTGATCCATAGAAAAAAAAAGTTAAAAGCCAATAGAAACCAAACCCAAGATACCCAGATGTTTTAGACAAAATAATTATACTAAAAGAATTAAAAGGAGGTTCAAAGAGGTGAAAACATGATCAATGAATAGGAAATCTGAGCAGACATATGGAAAATGGAAAATGACAGGAAAAGTTAACTTGATGGGCTTAACATGAGAAGAGAGATAATAGTTAATAACTGGAAGTTAGAGCAATAACAATTATCTCATCAGAAGAGGATAGTATAGAAAAAATATTGGAGGGAAGAAGAAAACAGTCTCAGAAGCATGCGAGATTATAACACTTTGATATATGTATAATTAGAATCTTAAAAGAGAAAAAAGTGAATCGGGCAGAAAAATACTGACCAAGACTTCCCAAATTTAATGAAAACTAAAAATGGGTTGATCCAAAAAGCTAAGCAAACACCAAGCAGGCTAAATACAAAGATGAAGTGAATGAGTGCTAATGAAACAAAAAAACAAGTTTCTCCATGAAAAAAAGTAGTTTCAAAGCTTTCATGTATTTGGATATATTTTAGTATTTGAAGCTTTTACCTTATATAAGAATTTGTTCTTATAATAAATATTCCCATATTTAGAATGTTTTTAGAGGGGAGAATAAAGCAAATTAAACAAAGATTACAGACGTTTAATTATAAAGAAAAAACTGGTGAGTTAACTTCAGAATCTAAAACATCAACTGAAGATTTACCACTCAGAGCTAACATTTGCTATTTTTAAGCATTGCTTACCAAAGTCAGATTCTGATAATCTTTTATATGGAACTGATATTACAATATATAATGTCATTAATTCAACATTTTTAACAAAAGGATATATTATAAACCTGGTCTGAACAATGGATACATAACCATAATGAAATCCTAAGGTAAAATAAAAGTGTATCCCAGAAAAGGTACAGCGTGTAGTCCATTACACATATTTTTCTCTTCATGATAAATCAAGCATCTTGCTTTATAATTTTAGAAAAAGCAATACTATGATTAAAGAATAAACCTTTTTAAGTATGTAAATTTAACACGTAAAAATGAAAACTCAATTATTTTATACTTTATATTGCTTATAAGTAAAATAATTAATATGTTATACCAGAACAGACTAAAATGAAGTTTTAGCATCAAGTTCCCATGGAAATGTTTTTATTTGACTCAACTCTCAACTCTAAAAAGCACTACTTTCTAACAGACAATTGAAGAGGTAGAAAAACTGCTGCTGATTTGGATAAAGGAAAAGCAGTTAGCCAGTGATAGCCATTTCAGAGGCAGTGATATATGAGTAAGAGTTTTTGGGTTTTGTGGGAGTTTTCTGAGGAAGGGTGGAGTGGTTGGTGGTAAGGGGTTGGGAAAATTACAATGATCAAGAGTTGACCTAAAATCTCTATTTATAAAGAAAAGAGACATAGAAGAGAAAGGCACTAAAATTAAGTAATTCTCCCGTCATTCTTCCCTTGGAACAACTCCAGTGCTTTGAATCTACAGACTCTGCTAAAGAATTCTGTGATACTAATCTTTTTTCTAAATCAAAGAGAAACTTAGGTCAGTAGCAGTATTCCTCATTTTCTGCTATTTCATCAAAATTGGTTCTAATCTTTGTGCTAGCATTAAATGTAATGATATAACAATATAGCACAATTAGTCAAGAGCTAAAATTTCTAGCTATGTGCCTGATGGCTTTATTTTCTGAAAGTTAATTCTGATCAATAACAATTCTATCTGCTCCAAAAGAACATCAGGAGGGTACTGAGATAAAGCAAGACTTTGTTTGTCAAACCCACAAAAGGAAAACACGTTTGGAGTCTCAATTATTCCTGGATCCATAAAGGGTTTTAATAAATAGTTATGTTTTGCTGAATCATTTGAAAATAAGCTATAGATACTACAGGACTCCATCTATAAATATTTCAGCACAAAATACTGAGTAAATCCTTTTGCTCCCTAGCCACAATACTCAAAGAAAATTACTAATTCTCTAATTATCCTGTATTAACAGTCCATGTTCAAATTCCTTCAATTGCCTCCAAAAATGTTTACAACCCAGTCTCAACTACTGTGAGCCATGAACTCACCATTTGGATTAAGAAGAAGCTGGAGCCCCACTGGAGAACCTGAAGCTCTACCACCCCTGAAGAGTACTGCATGCTTCACAGCCACAACTCCTCTACTGGCTTTGTTTTCTGACATTTGTATTAATGCCACAGGAGTGTTCTCTTCATATTTCAAATATGAAATTGTAATCCCAAGTGCACTTTCTCAAACAACACAATTCAACTGACAAAAATAACTATTTAAACAAGATGAACTTTTATAAAAGTGCCACTTACACATAAGCACAACCAACAGACTCAAGACACTTGGGGGAAGGGCACGAGGGCAAGTTCTGGGAGGTAGGGAAGAAGGGGGGAGGTCAGTGAAGAAAAAAAAAAAAAGAGAGAGAGAGAGAGAGAGAGAGAGAGAAAGAGAGAGAGAGAGAGAGAGAGAGACATATGTACTACTATTTGTAATACCTTAAACAATAAAATTAAATAAATAAAATTAGAAGGGGAAAAAAGTGCCACTTAATCGAGATTCCCAGAATCTGCCTTAGAGTTTTAGAAATGCTCCATGTTCTGAGGTGTTCAGACCACCTACCACATCTAAGGCATAAATATGAAAGTAATTGTCCCTGCCTGGACTCTGGTGTAACACTAAAAATCTAGTTGAAATCCCACATTCACTTGGGCAAGTTACCTAACTTGCTTATGTCTTACTTTCCTTATCTGTAAAATAGGTATGATATGGGTACCTAAATCATATTGTTTTAAAGATTGAATGAGATAATATATGTGTGTTATGTACCGTATTTTTCGGACCATAAGACGCTCCGGACCATAAGACGCACCAGTTTTTAGAGAAGGGAAATGAAGAAAAAAAGATTCTGAAACAAATAGTGTCCTAAAATATTTTATGTGCATTAAAACCCAACATCACAGTCATAAACACATGTAATCAACCCTGTAAAGTAAACAGCAGCATTTAGAACCATTTTAGAGCTGGGCAAGCACACAGAGACCACACAGAGCCGGGCAAGTAAAAAAACTTTTTTTTTAAAGTATATGTGTAGGCTATATTTGGACCATAAGATGCAGGGACTTTTTCCGCCCACTTCTGGGGGGGAAAAAGTGCGTCTTATGGTCCGAAAAATACGGTATATACTTACATATACACACAAGCACTTTATACATATACCTACACACACGTATCTTTAAGCACATAAAAAATAACCAATAGCATTATGATGCTATTATAATGCTAGGGACATAGGTTTAAAATGTCTCCTTTTCTTCAGCCCATTACATATATTCAATACATATTAACAATTAGTTGAAGACATAGGACAAACCATAATCTAGATACTTAGAAAACTGAAAGGTCCCTTCACCACTTCAACAAAATAATGTCCCTGCTCTGCAATTTATTGTATGTAAAACTAAGAAGACAGGGACATCTTTTCTATGATTTACCAGTTTTTATAGAAAACTTGCTCCCACAGGAAAACATGTAAAACAAAAGTGCCCTTCTGAAAAGCAATGCCTCTCAAAAGGGATTCCTCAAAGAAATACATTAGGAATAAACATTAGAAAGACAGAAAAAAATGATCAAATAAACTTTCCATGTCCAAATCTCCAAAAGATAATTTATATATGTAAAATTGTTTTAGCTGATCTTAAGAGAAAACACATGTATTTTGATAGTTGACAGTAATGAACCACATACCTTGGATTAAATTTTGCTTCTTCCATCATTTTTTTGAAATCTTCCTTGGCTTGCATTATTTTGTTTTTCTTTTCCCTGCGTTCTTCCTCTGCCCTGGTCTTTACATACTGATCAAAAACCTATCACAAAAATAAACCAATTTGACAAGTTAGTCTTTCATATAGGTAATTTAACTACCAAACTATGGAATCTATTTAAAAAAACCAACGCACTACATCCCTATCTAGGTCCAATCCAGAATAATAAAATATAGGTGACTCAAGTACATTCAGGTTATCTCTAGCAAATCTCATTTTAAAGCTCCAGCTGACATGACAGTATTACAGAAGCGTACAGACCTCTGCTTAGGCTTGCAGAATAGAAAAAACTTAAAAGCCCCTTTAATCTTAATTTTCCCAGATTATAAATTGAAACATGTTTATTAAAAAATTTCAAGCAATTTGGAAATGTTTAAGAGAAATAACAATCCTCCCAAAACCCTTCTAGATAAAGCATTAACAGTATGGAATCCATAGTTTAATTTTATTTCTGTGCTTCTTTAAGATATAATTTTCACCAAAATAACAATGCATTACATCTATTGTATAATATTTACCCCCACTTAATAATGTATATTCAAGTATAAACTGAATATACACATCTATTTCCTGCCTTCGACAAATACTAATAAAATGACAGTAGAGGAATTCCTTTTTCAAAATCACAAGGACAAGAAGACAGAAAAAAATCTGGAAGATGAAAAGATGGACAAGTGGTAAAGGATTTGGCAGACAGAAGAAAGGGGACCCTAAACCAGCAGTGAAGAAAACAAAGGAATTAATGAAAAACAATCTCTTAAAAATTAAGAATTTATCAACTTTGATTAAAATCACTAGATACTCAAAAGAAAAACAGGAAATATTTTAAGTTCTTAGTTTATTAATCCTCTCATGAAAAAAGTACAATCACCACAGATAAAGCCACTAAGAACCTTTGCTCCTTCTTATCCCATCTCCAGCTCACTTTTTGCAGCACCAACATTGGCCTTTGCTGTCCCCTTGACTTAATTCATTCTGTTCTTGCATTACTTTCTGTTTTCCTGAGTTCTTCTCATACAGTTCATGTCTTACAAGTCTATGTTTGGGTTCATTTTTCTTTGCATAACTCAAGGAATCATAAATCATGACGAAGCCAGTTGTCTTGCCACCACCAAAATGGGTTCTAAATCCACACACACAGATGACATCTGTGTGTCTTACATATTTCGGCTAGTTTCTCCTGAATTTCTGTCTTGGGTACCGTTGTCTTCCCCAGGTGAAAGATGTCAATGGCCATTTGTTTCCGTTGTATCAATAGTAGTTTGCCATGCACGAACTTCTTGACTCAGATACTTACTCTGTCATTCATGATGAGGCCGATCTTCAAGCAGCCAGGGAGGAAAAATGAATTTTTTTTTTTTTTTTAAGAGAATCCTCAACAGCTCAAGAAATAGTGGTATCGGACACAGAAGTGAAAGTGGGTGTACTGCCACAATTAGGCTATTTAGGAGGTGGAACAATCACTAGGTTCCCCCCACTCCCACCAAGTCTATGTTTTATGGGGGAACTGCCACTATTGAACTTCAATAAAAGGCAAGTGCTTATTACCTAAGACAAATGCTTACTCCTAGGGCAATATAATCAAAATAAATCAATCCCACTCTCTCTCTCCCCTGCCCTTCTCCCTCCCTCCCACTCTACCTAAAATCAATGGGAAAATATCCTCTGGGTGAGGATTAACAAAAACAAACAAACAAACAAATAAATAAATAAATCCAGTCAAAAGAAAGAAGCATTTCCCTGAGTTCTGTGGGTTGTTATGGCAAATTAAAAAACCTGGAGAGGGTCATGGGAACCCTTGAAAAGCAGCCAAGATAAAGAGCCCTTCTACTTGCGACTGGTGTCTTGTAAGACTGACCTTAATCTGTGATACCTGATGCTAACTCCTCGCACACTGTCAGAATTCATTTTAATTGCAGGACACCACTCTGGTGCTGGAGAACTGGTTGGTTCAGGGGGAAAATGTACACATTGATGTCCAAGTATTCAGTGTATAGGGAAATAGTTTTTCCTTTTCAATAGATCTCCATTATCTGATTCAATATAATACAATTTATAATTTGATACTGATTCAGTAAGCAGTGACCTAGATGAACAGTTGACAATCATCAGTAATTATACTGATAATGTATTTCCATATGATAACACTGTCACTCATACAACTCTAAACAATATGCACTATATTTTCATTTTAAATTTTGAAATGCTAGCATAACTTCTCCCTAAACCAGAGCTTAACATCCTGTACAAAAATGGTCTGGTTATTTTCTAAAAATGTCACACATTTTAATCTGTCAAAACAAAACTGCCTGATCAAGGTGGGGAGAAATGGATGGAAGACACTTTGCTTGGGGTGGATGGGAGCACAATACAGTGTGTAAATGATGTTTTGTTGAGTTGTACACTTGAAACCTGTATGGTTTTTTGAACTAATGTCACCCCAATAAACTCAATAAAAAATAAGAATAAGAAAAATCACAAGTTAAAATTTATGGTAATAATTACACGTCCTTTACAATGCTGTGTGTGTGTGTGAGAGAGAGAGAGAGAGGGAGGGAGGGAGGGAGGGAGGGAGGGAGAGAGGGAGAGAGAGAGAGAGAGAGAGAGAGAGAGAGAGATGTCTACAGATAATTAAAAGGACAAAACTGAAAAAGATGTAATTTTACATTGAAGCATTTTTAATGAAATTGTTAGTTTTTTTTCAAATCAAAGCACAAATTTGAGATACTAGCACTTATTGGCTACCCTTGATTTTTTTACTCCCAAGAGAATATTTCACAAAAAAAAATAACTGAAAAATATATATATTAAATTCAAATGTTAACTTTTTTATATTCCAGTTGTAAGAAAAAAATTCTAAAGAGTTTTTATTTAAAATAGAATAAATAGTGCTTGCCCTGGCCAGGTGGCTCAGCTGGTTGAAGTGCGATTCCGTGCACTGAAAGATTTTGGGTTTGATTCACAGTCAGGGTACATGCCTGGGTTGTGGATTTGATCTCCACCAGGGTGCATGCAGGAGAAACTAATCAGTGTTTCTCTCTCTCCATCAAAGCTTCTCTCTTTCTCTCTCTCTTCCTCTCTCTCTAGAATTGATAAGAATTCTTGGGTGAGGAGTAAAAAAAAAAAAAAAAAAAAAAGGAAAGAAAAAAAGAAAAAGAATGCTTAATACTTTTTCTCTTCTTAAGTGTAACTCCAGTAAAAAGGTAACACCATCAACTTACAAAATATTTCCAAACATGAGAATATATACTTGTAATTTCACTCACTCAGAAACTCTAACAGTGCTATATAAAGTCTTAAGTCATAAAAATTTTGAAGTTTTCAAGAATATTTGGGTTAAGCATTGTTCTAGGAACTACATTTAGAGCAATGCACAAGACCACAATCCTCCTCTCACAAAATTTATATTCTGCAGAAGAGACAGATGATAATTTTAGACAATAAGAGCTATAAATGTGATGACGATAGTAAAGGCAAGGAGACAGGTTGATCAGAAGGCATTTGGACAAGTACCTGCATGAAAAATCTGGAGTAAAAAATTCCCAGGCACAGGGAATAGAAAGTACCAGAATGTACCTGACTGGCTTGCTCAAGGCATATCAAGGCCAATGTGGCTAGTATGAATAAGTTTAAAAAAAGAGCTTCAAGAAGTATGCAGGCATAAGTATATGTAGAAGCTTAGAGGCCATGATAAAGTTTCATTTTATCCTAAACAAAATGGATTTTAAGCAAAAACAGAACTGCGTTAACTTCAAAAGTAGCCTGGTTGCTGTGTGGAGAAAAAACTTGACTTTGGAGGAGCAAAAATGGAAAGCAGCAAGGAACTCAATGAGAGGTTACACAGATGATGAAAGTTGACCATGGTGGTGGCTTGGATTAGGGTATTAGTGAGTTGGAGTTAGATGAGTTTATGAAGGTAGATTTGCTGATAGACTTGAAATGTACATTGGGTCTCAAGTAAAGAATTAAGGTTGGTTTATAAATTTAAGAATTAAGGTTTTGATAGGGACATAACTCAGATGGGAATGAGACCATCACACTAATTGATTGCATTTTTGTTTTGTTTAGTTTTTTTTTTAAAGACTACTGTGCTTGAAATGCAGATGATGCAAATATATTTAGAAAGCCATGTCTATTACAAGCACTAAAATATGTCTGGCACACTGTAAATTTCCTCTTTTCTTAAAAAGTCTACAAATAGACTTACATGCAGAATGATACAAAATGTGTATAGAATTATTCCAACCATTAAGTTATAAATATGAAAGATGGCACTACTGTTACCAACTGAAATCTTGTAGCTCAACAGCACTGACAGCCAGTGGTTTAATATACTCACCACTTTAGAGAGATCAGTGTTGGGGTAAGCCAGGTAATTGATAAATTATAGAAATTGGAAGTATGCAATACTTTAGAGGAAGAAGTAATCACCCTGAGATGGTATGTGTTACTGAATCATCACGGGATTAAGTGGCAATGAAGCTCCATTTTAAGAGATGCCACTCAGATGTGAACTTGATGTGTATAGTGTGTGTAAGACATAAACATACCTCTAAGTATTTTCTGTTCAGAGGACACACACACGCACACATGCATATTACTACACAATAGCCTAGGAGGCTATAAACCAGTGTTCATTGCTGATCCTGCATGTTAGGTAGAACTTTAAGTAGTCATTTTTTTCCCTTTTCTTCATCTATAGTTTGCTATTTTTCTACTCCAAATTTGCATCATTTAGCTAATAAATTAATAAATGCATTTAAAATGAATTTTGAAACCTTCTTAGATATAACCTTAGTTTGTATGAGACGTAAGGATAAAATGTTCATGAGGCAATAGCTACATCCACAAGGGCAAAAATATCCAAGAACTTCTGAGGTAGAAATGTCCACACAGAGAAAGGATGCCTGTGTTCTAAGATATGAGACTGTGCTTTTTTTAAAGCACTGTGTTAGGAAAAGGAAAGAAAAAAGATGATACATTACTCCTTGCAATTTAAAATTTATACTTGTAAGCGATATACATTTTTAAGATAATGTTATTTTCCTTTTACCTGTTTTCGTTCTTTAGGGTTGAGAAGTAAGTACCGAGGATCAAAAACTATCTTGTGCAACTCCTTCTCCCATGTTGAAAAAGCAGACACCTTTAACATAAAAAAATGTATTGCCCTTCATAAGTAAGTTGGCTCTAAAAACATAAAGGTCATATAATTTTGCTTGAAATCTACAGGACATCTGCTTAAAAAGGAGACATAATAAAAAGCACCCTGAATTTTCCATCACTAATAAATGACAAGCAGTGGGAGGTAATAGCAAATTTCCACACTAATTGGCTGTGAACATTTCTGTATTATATAAAAATAAGACACACCTAATTATTCATTAACATAGCCACTACTGTGTGACATTTTAAATCAGTACATCAGAAAAAGCCTTGAAGATCTGTATTTTAATTTCCCATGTTTGCTCCAATCTTGTGAACATTGTAATTTAAAACTGCACAATTTTAGTTATTCAAATGAGTCTGTGAATATAACCAAAAGAAAACCCTTCTCAATTAAGGTTCATTAATAATAAGTTCTCCTTTAACCAAAAGCCATTATGAAGATATTAAAGGAAGAATCGTGTATACCTTACCTATCCTGAGTAGTCCGCCATTCTGGAATGTTAATACTCGTCTTAAATTACTCACCAAAATTTAATGACCCAATAAATGTTAAATATCAATTGTACATAAAAGGATAGTAGGTGGCATTAAGTTAAACATTATATAATTAGCCAAAAAAAATGGCTGAGTGAAAAGATACAGTAATTTGATAGGCTTCCCTTCTCCCCCCCCACGACATGAGCACTAACCTTAGATTTGACCTTTTAGCAAGACATATTTATATTACTTATACAAAACAGAAATATCTCCCCCAAAGATTGTTTTCTGACCCCTCTTTCTAGCAGCATGTCCTTGAACTGCTTCATTCGGGACTCCAGAGGGACAATGGCCCTTTCTCGGGCAGCTTTAATTTCAGCTTCCATTGCAGCTTCTTTGTCTGAATCAATGTCTTTATTATCATCTCTCCTATAAAAAAAATAAAAGATAAGGCATCAACTGACAAAATATTAATAAGAAATCTTGCTAAAATCTTAAAATAAATGGAATGTTTAAGACTCACTACTGAGGAGCATATTTTTGGCAAAAACAAATTATACTGAGTGTATCTAATGAACTTTAAAGGACAAGCAGCTTTCATTTTAATAATAAAGTTACAATAAGCTTCTAATGTTACAATGGATACATTGTAAAAGAATATATATACTTTTGCTTTTTCTGACACTAGTTGATATACAAAATGAACTACTTTACTTAAAAAAAAACAAAAAAAAAAACCACAAACACTTATCTCACATTGCAGTCAAACTATGTGTTAGAATTAAACAGCACAGAATATAACTTTTAGTTCTTGAAATGATATAGAAAAAATAGCATTTTCTAAATTGTTTTATATTATAAATGCATAAAATATTTTTAAAATCTAATAAAAGTTGGTATAAGTCCTAGTAATCACAAATATTTATTTTGAAAATAAGATTAAAATATCTGCAAACTTGGCCAAGTGGATATGTGAGGTGTATACCTTACCTACCTGACATTTTTTTACTCACTTTCTGGGTGATAAGTTGAGATTTAAGTTGAAGAACAGGTCCCAGAGAGCAACATAGGCCCAGGAGTAGTTAGGTGGAATTAGAACTGTTCATCAATGACTAAACTACTTTTTCCTCTAAAAATGCACCTCTGGGCTAAGGGTAACCCTGCTACTGTATGGTACTTAACAGAGATTGTGAAAATGAAATCCAGTCACCTCTCAAAACATCTGCATGATGAAGAAGGCCCATTCATGTGAATAATAATAATAAAAAAATATGTAATTCTATAGTAGTTGGGTGTGTTTGAACAGATTTTCCTTCTTAAATATGATCTGCTAAATATAAAAATGGTTCAGATTCCCTACAGAAACTTACAGAAATTAGGAAAACAGAACATCAGAAAATTCAAAAGTGAAGGTAGCCCAGGAAATTTAAATGAAACTAAGACTAATCCTCAAACATGGTAAGGGAGAGTAACTAACAACTTAGGAAATGAATCAAAAGAAATAGAAGACATAATCCGTGACCTGCAGGAACTTATCGAGATAGTCTGTGACCTAATAAGATATGCACAAAACAAACAGGTAAAAGCAATTTGCTAAACAATATACCCCCTTATAATAATTTATTTATGAACCATTTAAATAGAGTTAAAGGAAATCCAAGAAATATAACTAACAAAAACAACCTTTATAGAATTACTAAATGAAAATGTCACAATACAAACTATCACTATCTATCTCAATAAAAGAAATAAAGAGAAACTAAGCCAGGAAAAAGAGGCTTTTAGCTTTGTACCTAAATAGAGAAGCTCGGGCAATCCACATAAAGGACTTCTTTGACATTCTCCTGATAAAAGCAGTTAAAAACCTTACAGAGTTGTCTATAAGAACAAACAATTAAAAACAACCTAAAAGTTTAACATTGCAGGAATATCCAAAATTATGGTACATAAACAGAATGAATACAATCATTTATAATAACTAAGAAAACAAATGTCTTACTCTAGATTAAAAAAAATACAGTTAGTTAATTACAACTAATAAAAATACTTATACATTTGGTTAAGAACTAAAAAGTCAACTGAAAAATGTATGGTTGATTATGAGTGATTCTCTTTAATATTTTAATTTCTTTAATGTTCTTGCCAATAAGGACATTAAAAAAACAAACAAAAAAAAAAACAGCAACACAAACATGCCCTTGATAAGAGTTGTTTAATGTTTTGTTCTTTGCCGTAATTTGGCTGCATTCAATGTTCTTTTCAGATAAGGACTAGTATGATAAACTAGTCCCTAATGCCTTCAAATTTTCCTTTTACTGCTAATAGTCCCATTCCCCCCCCCCCTTCCCGCCCCACCCACACAAAAATACCTTCTACCCCACCCTTCTACTCCTTATATTTAGTAACATTCATATTTTATCTAACGCCAGAGCATTAGAAAAACTAATATTTCTACTTAATAGCACACTCTTCTCAGAACACTTTCTAAGTTCATAGTTCCCTCTTTACCAGGTAAAAGGACTATAGATTCCAGGACTAGGGAAGTTACAAGTATGTAAAAAGAGAGAGAAGTCTGTGTCTGCATTTATGAGATTCCTGGAATGGTATCTGTTGGGGTCTATTTTAGGGAGGAAGTTTATTTTTTATAAAACACAGACCTAATGAATATCTGAAAATAACTTACCAACTAATTCCTAAAATGTCATTTGGCTTCATAATGTGTATTTAAATAACCAAACCTTTTGCAAATCTAATAATGGAAGGAACACACACACACCATTTCTACACTCTACAGCAAAATCTTTTGGCTTAAGACACAATCATCACTTCTGTCTCCTGACAACACACACATTACCTGTCCCCAATCACAAACTCAATGTGGCCTAATCAACTTTTAAAAGCTACAATCTACCTGATTTACATAAACTGTAAGTATTACTTACTTCCTTTTTTTGGCTTTAACTGGTTCATCTTCATTAAGTTCTTCCATTAATTCTTGTTCTTCTTTAACTGTAGGGTAAAATTTAATTAAACTGTCAGAATACAAATAAACAAGCAACAACTGAAATATTTAAGTGTGACTCCTGTTAACCATTACCACAATACTCGTTCTAGCAGTTATTACAAAGAAGCTGCAACTGACAGTTCACTTACTTGCACTCATAGAGAACTGCCACTTTTGGATGGACAGCATTGTCGGCGTTGGGTGCCCTGGCAAAAAAGTATTTCAAATATTAAGAAAAATAGTTATATGCATATATTATACAGCCTACTTTTATAAAATTACTGTTTATATAAAATATCCATCACATGACATGCATTCCTTCGTAAAACACTAACCAAAGCATGGTAATTCTATACCTCCCCTATTAATCCCCCCTTTATATTGAATATTCACTTCATTTTGAAATGACTCTTTGATGCACATATCTGTAATAAGAAAAGCATAATATGCTAATTATATTGGATGTCCTTCCTTCCTGATAAAGCCACAGGAAGCAGGGGCTGAGGCAGAAACAGAAGAGGCCCCTGGTTGCGGCAGGTGGGGACCAGGGCCAAGGTCCCTGCACAAATTTTAGGCACTGGGCTCCTAGTTTATTAAATAAATGGATCGAATATTTGAAAACAGATTCAAAAACTTTCTTGGCATGATTCAATACTATAGTGATAAAGTATTATCAATAACATAGCTATACAACAGATATTGCTGAAAGAGAAAAGCTGGTGCCTAGTATTTTTATCACTAGGTAGGCCAAGTTTGACTGATCTAGAAAACACTTATAAGCAGAAAATGTTAGTACCACACATACACAATCTATAAAGATTTCTCCATCATCATAAATAACATATATTAGGGTTTGCTTCATCTGAAGTATGTATTAAATGATTCATTTATCATGCTTCTACACAACATGGGAAGATTCTGTACAAACATGAATACAAGAGCAAACTACTGATAAAAAATATGCAACAAAAATTATTTACAAATATTTGTCTTCATTATATATCCTAAAATGGTACTTCAATATGAGGTAGATTAAAGATAATCTTTTAATAAGGTTTATGTGTCTCTTTATTCTCAGGCATAAGGCTTACCCTTCCCTAAATTTCACCTACTTAAAAAGACTAATAATAACCTCTTGTATGTTCACAAAATCTTGTGTTTTTATATTCTACAATTTAGTAAACATATTTTAAAAAGTTTTGATTATTTCAGAAAACATATTACTAGTCACAAAAGGTGCTTTTTATTTTTATTTAAATATATTTTATTGATTTTTCACAGAGAGGAAGAGAGAGAGAGAGAGTTAGAAACATCGATGAGAGAGAATCATCGATCAGCTGCCTCTTGCACACCCCCCACCGGGGATGTGCCCGCAACCAAGGTACATGCCCTTGCCCGGAATCGAACCCGGGACCCTTCAGTCCGCAAGCCGACGCTCTATCCACTGAGCCAAACTGGTCCCGGCAAAAGGTGCTTTTTAAAAGATCATTTTAGTATTACTAGCAAATACGGAACATCAGTGGTACCAACACATCCTATACTAAATGAAATCTTGTCAAGGACAAGAAAGAAAAAACTACATATAAATATTTTACAAAAAAAGAATTTAACTAAATTCTTTATTTTTTATATCTCTATCAATGAACTCAAGCTAGCATAGCAATCTAATTTCAATTTCTCAAGTTTCTTATGTTCCTTGAAAACAGAAAGATTTTCTAAACATCCTCAACATTTTCTGTTGAAATATTAAAACAATGTTCACATTCTGGAATAAATTCCTAAATTAAAACTTACTTAGCTTCCTCAATTCTTCCATTCCTCTTTTATGAGGGGGCTCCTGAATAATTTTGTCAACATCCGCTCTTCCAATGAGATCATCAGGTCGGTCCCACATAGAAAGACGGGTGGTAGGATTATAGAAGAAGACCCGCTCGTCACCAGTCCAAACAACACACCTAAGAAGTGATTCAAACATAATTACCTTAGGTTTGGAACACAAATTATAGGAAGGTCTTTCACTGTTATCCTGGCAAAATGGATGGTGGTAATAGAGGGAAAGGACATGTTTATATTACTAATAGTTATTTATAGGGAACCATAGATGGCTTTTAGAAGAGAGCTAAGGTTAAAACAGCCGTTTCATATACTGAGAAAACCAGGAAAAGCAAAGCAATTTGTAATCAGTTTAAAATGCTCAGACACTTGGTTTGGCACACTCCAATTGAGAATGCTACATTTTCAACTATCACAAAGGATGTGTTTCATGGCAACAATAACGCAAGTAAGCATTCTAAAGCTAACGAACATACCATAGGACCATAGCTTTACATAATACCTCTTAATATTTCTTACCAAACCAGAATTACTCAAATGTAACCCTATTATGAAGCCTTTATATCTGATTACATCTAGAATAAAAAATAAATAAGTACTGACTGAGCTATGGCACTGTAGCCCACTGCAGCTCACTGTTCCTGTTAATTACAACTAGAAACTCGGACAAAATAGGAAAAAAAACATCAATAACATGAGGACCCTATAAAGTTTTTTTAAAAAACTATAGAGAAGTCAAAATTTAGAGAAACAACTGCAAGGATTTACACCTCCCATTTCTCCTCCCTCAAACTTCTTCCCTGAGGGTGGCTCCTAGTCACACAGTGGCATGATGACAGTGGCATAGGCAGCTGAAACTCCAATAGAAACAGGTCTTTTTGGCCAATCAAGTTAATCAACAGCTGCCAAACCCAAGGTGATCTAGATGTTGAAATTATCAGACAAAGTCTCTATTGTTGAAATAATCAGACAAAGGCTTTAAAGCGGCAATTATAATTAGGATTTATGACAAACCTGAAAAAAAAGATAGCCGTTCTCAGCACAAAACTAGAAAATGTGAAAAAAGAAAAATCCAACTGAACTTAAATTTCTCTAGATGGTGATAATAGAGGAAATGCTTGGTCAACCAGAAGACAGACAAATAATTATCCCATCTGAAGACCAGGTGATTATGTAAAATGCCTAACATACAGTGCATTGGGATCCCAAATGGAGAGAACGATATTGAAGGCACAATGGCCAAAAAAGAAAAAAAAACGGCCAAAGCCGGTTTGGCTCAGTGGTAGAGCGTCGGTCTGCGGACTAAAAGGTCCCAGGTTCGATTCCGGTCAAGGGCATGTACATTGGTTGCGGGCACATCCCCGGTAGGGGGTGTCCAAGAGGCAGCTGGTTGATGTTTCTCTCTCATCGACATTTCTACACTCTCCCTTCCTCCGCTCTGTGAAATATCAATAAAATTATTATTTTTTTAAAACCAACTCTCCAAATGTGGCAAAAGACATTAATATTAAAGGTCAGTGAATTTATGGAAAAATTTTTGAGCATTTCCAGACCCAAAATTCAAGATACGCACAATGTCTTCATTTGGTTTGCCAGTAGCAAAACCCTTAATTACACCCTTATGAGTGTTCTCTTGGGTGTCTTTTCTGACACCTTAGAACACATCTTGCTAACAGATCCATAAAACAAATCCTACAGATGCTCACAGACACACAGTTGAAAGCTACGACAGCTTGATGCTGAGATGCTGACTGTATTTTCCAGGGAAAGAACGGCGAGGCCATTCTAGCTGCTGGAAAACAAATACTGAATACAATTTTTGCTTTTCATCTTTTTTCTTAAAAAACAAAATCCTCTTTGGATTTCTTTTAGTGAAAACAAGTACTAATGTAGGTCTTTTCTAAAGGTGAAATGCATAAGACAAATTTTAAAAAGTAGAGAATACCTATATTCAGATGGGTTGTAAAAGCACGAAAAACATATAGCTGGCTTTTGGTGGGTGGGAAAGGGAATGGAATGCTTCAAAGGGTCACAGGTTCGATTCCCAGTTAAGACATATAAACCAGGGTATGGGTTCAAACCAGGGTACAGATTCAATCCCGAGTCAGGGCACATACAGGAGGCAACTAGTCAATGTTTCTCCCTCTCTCCCCTTTTCCCTCCCTCATTTTCTAAGAAATCAATACAAATACATATAAATAAATATATATATCTTCCACCTGTGTCTACCAAAGAGGTCACAAAATAATGACTAATTCTGTAAAGTAACATCTCTAAATCCCACACTGAGGCCTATATATGCCACTTCCCACAAAAAAGGAACCAGTGCTCCTTGGTGAAATGGCTAAATCTAGATGAGACAGGAAATATATGAGATAAGCCAGGAACATCCTGTAAGGATGCAAGGAAGGTATCAATGACAGGGTGGTAACAAAGCTAAACAAAAAAACCCTCAAGAGTCAATCTTAAGAGGCTTTACCAAACCAAAGATGAAACTGTACATCAACAATCATCATAGGTAGAATTCATAGAAACATAAAATATATTTAAATCTATGAATTTGTAATACTCAAACCAACTCATTATTCTGAAAACTGGTATATCCTTTCTTTCCTATGCAATTTGTTAAGGGGAAGCATCTCTTAAATATTCCAGTTAACGCCTGGAAAAAGAATAATAGAAACACATTACCACCACTTACTGATTTAATGGATTTAGGCCATGTTTTGCAATTCAGCACTACTGGCATTTTGGGCCAAATAATTCCTTCTTGTAGGGAGCTGTGCTCTGCATGGCAGGATGTTTAAGAAGTGTTTAACACCCACTAGATGTTACTAGCAGATGCTATTAATGCCTTCCAAGTTATGATAAGCAAATATGAGTCTAGACATTACCAAACATCCACTGATGGGGGGATGGGGAGAAGGGAGTGGCAAAGTTACTCCTCTTTGAAAACCACTGATCGAGGCAACAAATAATCAGCAATGACTGGTAACATCACACAAAGAAACACCTCGGTGCACCTGGGGGAAAGGCACATCATCTCTTATGAACTTGACTTGCCAAAAGGATCAAATCTGAATCTGATCACATCTCGGTATCTGCTTGCTAGTTTGTAGAAAATTCAGAAATGAAGAACTCTAATAGCATATAGATGCTAATACAAAATCCAAACTGTAGGACTCTATAAACAAACATGTTTATTTTTTCTACAACAAAAACAAGGAGGAAAAAGCAAAATAAACAAGTTTGAGGGGAAGCTACAGATTATAAGCCAATTTACGGCAATGTGGGACTATATATGGATTAAGTTGCAGGAGGAACAGGAGAGAAAGCACTAATGTGGAGAGATAAAGAAAACGGAGAATCAGCTTTAGCTGGTTTTGCTCAGTGGATTGAGCACCAGCCTTCGGACTGAAGGGTCCCGGGTTCAATTCTGGTCAAGGGCATGTACCTCAGTTGCTGGCTTCCAGACCTAGTCCCGGCATGCGGGAGGCAATCAATCAATCAATCAATCAATCAATGTGTTTCTCTGTCTCTCCGTCTCCCTTCCACTCTCTCTTAAAAAAAGGGGGGGGGGGTGGAGGGGGGAAGGAAATAACCACGAGTGAGGATTAAAAAATATAAAAAGAAAAGGGAAAACCAAACAAAAAGTAGACTTCAACAATTAAATAAAAAGACATAATTTCGCATAGTTCTAGAAACATAATCAAATGTAGGTATATATACATAAGCAAATTTTAAACACTACATAGTGGATTCAGAATCTCACAGTGTGGTTCAAGTCTATAATTAAGAAGAATAAACATTAACAGAAGCACGATGAAGGAAGACACCACAGCAACTGAGTTTTACAACAAACAAAAACCAAAATATTCAGCAAAAAATATATATATTTGAAATATACTTTTTCTTTCTATAGGATAAACCATGTAACAAAAAAAGTATGGCAGCCGAAACCGGTTTGGCTCAATGGATAGAGCGTAGGCTTGGGGACTGGGGGGTCCCGGGTTCGATTCTGGTCAAGGGCATGTGCCTTTGGTTGTGGGCATATCCCCAGTGGGGGGTGTGAAAGAGGCAGCTGATTGATGACTCTCTGATCAATGTTTCTAACTCTGTATCTCTCTCCCTTTCTCTCTGTACAAAATCAATAAAATGTGTTAAAAAAGAAAAAGAAAAAGAAAAAAAAGAATGGCAAATAAATAAATAGCCTGGCTGGCGTGGAACAGTGGTTGAGTGCCAACCTATAAACCAGGAAATCATGGTTTGATTTCTGGTAAGGGCAAAAGCCTGGGTTGCAGGCTCGATTCTCAGTGTGGGGCATGCAGGAGGTAGCTGATTAATGATTCTCTCTCATCATTGATGTTTCTCTCTCTCCCCTCCCTCTTCCTTCCTCTCTGAAATCAACAAAAATCTATTTAAATAAATACTTTCTAATTAAACCAAATACATACCATGGAGTACCAGGAATAGGGGTAGTAGCTACTGGCTTTGCCTTTTGGGCAGCCTTTTCTTCTTCGGTCATCTCTTCTTCTTTGGGTTCCTATGGGAAATGATATTTCTCCTATTTTATTAATATCATAAAAGTTTACTAGAATGTTCCACAAATACAAGTATCTACAAATACCTCAAAGTGCAACCAACAGGAGGTTTGCTACTAGTACAGGAAGGGGAGACTCTAAGTACAAATCCTATATAATAAAAGGTCCTATATAATAAAAGGGTAATATGCAATAGACCTAATGGCAGAACTGAACAACCAAAGTGTAATATGCTAATATTACGCTAAGGCTGCTCAACTGCTCGCTGCACTGACCACCAGGGGGCAGACAGTCAATTGGTCGACCAGTCAGTATGATGTGCACTGACCACCATGGGACAGATGCTCTGATTGGTAGGTTAACTTGCTGCTGGGGTCTGGCCAATCAGGACTGAGCAAGATGGGCCAAACACACCCTGGAGCTCTCTCATGGTGCCTTCTTGGCCCACTGGTGGGGTCCTTCAGCCTGGCCTGCACCCTCGCAATCCAGGACCCCTTAGGGGATATCAGAGAACTGGTTTCAGCCCCATCCCACAGGCCACTCCTCTTGGGAAGATGCCAGACACAGGAAGGGCTCATGGCTGGTGAGTGCTGCTATGGCAACGCGAGCCTCTCCTATCAATTATGGCAGGCACAGTGGCGTCAGGATGAGCAGGAGCATCAGGTAGGAGCTGCAGGCGGCGTTGGACTATCGGTTCTAGCCAGATCCCTGCAGGCCACCCAGAGGGACCCCACCTGTGCACGAATTCACGTACTAGCCCTCTAGTGTTTAATAATGTTCTAAATCCTGGCCCTCTAGACACAGGCAAATTCCAGTAGAGCAGATCCCAGCAACAGCAGATGGTCCTATCTTAAAGATTAACTAACCATCTGCTAGAAGCCGTAATGGGGAATACAGTATACAAAATTAAAGGAGAACTCTTCATTTAAGGTCATTTCCTTTTTTTTGCTAACTTCCTTACTAATAAAACATGACTACCATTGTTCCCTCACCAAATAAAAGAAGTTTCCAAAAACCAGAGCTCTTTTAATGCTGTATGGAGACCATGCCATGCCAGGACAGATGAAATAGAATGAACATCCCTCAAATGTGAATTTGTATTCATAACTTTACCATGTACCAGTCTGTAAGTCAGGAGGGTCGATATCAGATTCAAGCTCTGGTCTAAGACCCTTTCTTTCTATAGGCCTTAATTTACTAAAAGAAGTAGTCTAATCAAACTTTCAGAGGAAAAACTGAATTAGAAACTTCAAGGGACACTAACATTTCTTAAATCAAATGTATAACAATTATCTAAAACTATTTCAAATGACTCTTCAGTTACAAGTAACTTGTACCCAAAAATCAATGTCAGCTGCCATGCCAACAGGCTGCAGCCTTTACCTCCTTGATCTCTTTTATTGGCTCTTCTTTAGGATCCTCCTCCTCCGTTTCCATTGGCAAAGGTTCTTCAGAAGGTTCTTTAATTGGCTCTTTAATCTTCTCTTCTAATTTTTCTATTTAAAAAGTTAAGATAATGTCACGCCATGGTTTTGATGTAATTTTCCAAAAGCTTTCAGGAACTAAGCAGTTAAGATATTCCATAACTAGAAGTTACTAACCATAAAGATAAAATGTTTTTCCTTATAATATCATTAATTGAATCTATTATAACACTCAACTTCAAATACCTTGCTATGCCAATCAGGAAACTGTCACTAAAAAGAAGTACTGATTTCAGAGAGATATAAAGTCTTTCAGTTCATTCATACATCATTTATAGTATTCATTTTGCTAAAAGGGACAAAATATTAAGATACTTAGGAACAGAAACAAACTTGCGGCATAAAAATTATTAGTTTTCTTTATCCAAGACTTCAATTGCCTAAACTTTTTTACCATGTTTCAGAATATATACAATACAAGCATTCCTTCCTGATCAGTACTATCAAATCTTAATAATGATATCAATAATTATACAACAGAATTATGCAATTCCTGGTAATAGTAAAAATATGTATTTGTATGTAGGTATAATTTAATTTCTCCAGATGGAAAAATGATGGGACAAACATGTAGTAGATGAACTGTTTTTTTAAGTAAAATAGATGTTTATTCAGTAAGAATAAATAATCCAACTAGAAAATTCCTCAAATGTGTCAGAAAGGAATTAACTCAGAATTTCAAATAGCCTTCATTTATAATACCATTGTTTATATTATGTCTCACCAAGTCATTAAACTATACCTTTTTCTTTCAGTTCTTGGGGTTTTTCCCAGGTTGATTCTAATGTTCTATTATTATAATAATATGTCTTCCCATCTGCTGTTTTATATTCAGTCCACTCAGAAATAGCTGTTGCTCCAGCTAAGGTAGCAGGTGAAGCTGCAATAGCAACCTGGGGATGTATCATGGGTACAATAGGAGGGGCCATTCCTGGCAACACACCTAAAAGAAGAAGAATAAAAAGTTAGACCCAAGTATCAAATTGCAATTCAAAATAAAACTTTAAAATATGAGCTAAATCTATTAAATATTAATAAAGAATGAGCCAGTTGGAATTTTAAAAATTCACATAAAATGTGACTTAATTACTTAAATCTACTTCCCTGGTTCATTTCTAATGGCTAAATTCAATTAGATGCATATATTCAACCCAAGAAGTACCTTAAGAACAGTCAGAAATTTGAGTCACACCTCTGATGAACTCTCAAATAATAAATTATAAAAATCACGGTACATTCTCTACTTATTAACAGAAATATATTTTATAAGGACTTCTCAAATTGTAGTAAAATAAAGGCAATGAGCATATTTACTGAGTATATGTCCTGAGACAAAATTATTTTCTAATTCTAAGGAATCTAAAAGGGTCTGAATAAAATTCTCAGCTTAAAGTAAATTACTGAGTTTATTATCAAATCTACTTTAAATATTAAGTGGTTAAGTCAAATATCGCTATAAACTGTCACTCAGTTTAGGCTTTTCCTTAAAAATATAAAAACAAAAATAAAAGTATTAAAAGGTAAGCCAGATTTTGTATTTTTACAAGATAACTAAAAAAGTTGTTATTACATAAATAATATTAATTAAGAATAGGTGAATTAAAACAGAAAAATCCTCAAATCCTATACTAAAATTTAGGTTTTGGGTAGTTATCTTCAATAACTTTAAAATGTAAGTTTATACAATACACACAAATACACACACACACACACAAATACTAGCATGCAAGCATAATCATATCACTTTACACATGGAAATGATTTTTTTATATTTAACTTAAAAACACACATCAAAAAATAAAATTAAATGTTATGAATATGAGAATGAAGTTGTTTACACTTATTAAACAAATTAAGTGATCTGACCTTATTTACTTTTGTGAACCAAAGAAGCTAATACTACAGGCAATTGGGAAAATCAAGTGTTGGCCAAATATGACAACTGCATTTATACTGCTCATTAAAAAGAAAAAGAAAAATTAAAAAAAATCCACTCACTTGGGCAAAAATAAATAAAAGAATAAACAACAACATTCACTACCATGCCAACTTACAGACAAAACAAACTAAGATGGTTTTAAAAATTACCGGTCTTGGTGGTAGCGACTGTCTTTACATACGGGCAGCTGACTATTTGCATCATTGCTACACCTGTAAAATGGATAAGCAAGCATATGTTGGAAAGCTGCCATTGTATGTCGGCTACCACTGGGATTCAGGAAAATAATTTACCACTACAATTTAGAATGCTATTTCCAAGAATGGAATAAAATTTCTTTTTGTTTGACATTTTGTGGGAAGTGGCGCCAAATCCAATGATAATTCTAAATTATAGCATCAATTACCTTTTTATCAACCAGCTGTGATAATATTTGAAGGAGTCTAGAGAATTTAAATTCAACAAAGGAAAGCCCCTTCATTACATATACATAACAGGTTCTCACTGGGACCCTTTCTCACAGGACATCAAACCCATGCTGCTGTTGCTTATATACCAGTGACAGGCAGATGCAGCATGACACTGACAAGACACCTTCTCTGCTGCTTCTAAGTGAGAACTACATGCAGAAGCTGAGGCCTGGAGCATAACCATGCAGGAATAGAAAAAGATAAGACAGAACAAAAAGGATGGGAGGGAAAGGAAGAAAAGAGGATATGAGATGAATTAAAATATTCCACTGTAAATAAAAGGGCAAAGATGAAGAGTAGGGTAGCGTTCAACTAATGACAAAATATCCATGTTTGGTGCCTGCCCTATTCAGTGCCTTGTGAAGGCAGGCTAATGCGTTAAAGAAAACACAGCCCTGGGGCTCCAGTGGCGCAATCGGTTAGCGCGCGGTACTTATAAGAAAACACAGCCCTTTCATCTCATTAATGACTACATACATGGGCTATTTTGCTTCAGAAACCTCTATCATTTAAGCCAGCTAAAGATGTAGCACTTGTATTAAAGAATGGAAATTATGTACAGTTCCTAGAAGAATGAAGACTCATGATGCATTACAATGGTGATATAAAAAGAGAATGAAAAGAAAAGCTGAAAAACTAAGGCTAATTGAGGACATTCAAAATTAAGAGTGAATTAAATATATTTTTAAAGGAAAAAGCTAAAGGATAAAGTAAAAGAGTAGGGAATTTAATTTAATTATCTATTTGTTTTGGCTAAAAAAAACACTAAACCTAGTTTGATACCAATAACATTTAAAATAAAGAATTATTTTCTTTCCCCACTAAAGTAATGGAAAAGAAATTTCTCCTAATTCAGAGACAAAAATTAAACCCCTGAATTTGTATATAATGTACCTATGTTCACGCACACACACACAAAAATACTGCCAATTTTTTAAAAAGTGCCTTTTTTTCCTTTATTACTATTTTAAAGAATATCAAAGCTAAACTTTCTATTAACTGAGACTACAACAAAAGTACTGACCATAAAAGCATGCTGAATAAAGTTATATGTATAGTTTTATTTTCTGCTTAAAGAAAGCAATGGAAAAATTCATTTGGTAAAAAAGTTCATGTATTAAGATTAAATTAGTATAAATGCTGCCATCTGCAGGACCACTGAACCTATTAAGTCAGCACTAGAAATTCAAATCCCAAAATACAGGTGGGCTGAGAGGGAACAAATGCAGATTTACAGTTGTAATACAAATAAATAATAATATAAGAATAAACTTTGGCATTCTCACAACTGTAAACCTACTTTTGGCCCTACTATGTACATAAACTTATTCTCAAAAACTGTTCTCTAAAACCAAACCCCCCCAAAGTAATTTTAACTATATGTCTTAAACGGAAGAAAACAAAATATCTTTGTATTTGCATTTAGGCATAACTGTCATTGTTAAATATCAATCAGGGCAATATAACACTCTTTTATTTGACTATCAACATATAAACTATACTGAAAGGTCACGTGTTTCTCATGTTAAAAGGTTTTCTCTTTGGGTGATTATTACATGCATACCATGAAGACACAAAATAACCACACATCTAAATATTTAACCTTCTTTTAAAAGGAAGCCTTGGCTGGGTAGCTCAGTTAGAGCATCGTCCCAATACACCAAGGTTGTGGATACATACAAGAACCAACCAATGCCGAAACCGGTTTGGCTCAGTGGTAGAGCGTCGGTCTGCGGACTGAAAGGTCCCGGGTTCAATTCCGGACAGGGGCATGTATGTTGGTTGCGGGCACATCCCCAGTAGGGGGTGTGCAAGAGGCAGCTGGTCGATGTTTCTCTCTCGTCGATGTTTCTAGCTCTCTGTCTCTCTCCCTTCCTCTCTGTAAAAATCAATAAAATATAAAAAAAAAAAAAAAAAAAAAAGAACCAACTAATGAACACATATATGGATGGATGGAACAACAAACTGATGTTTCCCTCTATCACTGTTTCTTCCCCCCACCCTAAAAAAAAAAAAAGAAAGAAAATCAATCATTTTGTAGTCCATAAAAAATAAAGTAAAACAAAATAAAGGGAGCATCTGTTCAACTTAGACACAATTCTATCCTCAAATTATGTTGTATTAGGAAATTTAAAAATTCCATTTAGCATTTTGGATAATTCTCATGTCACTGACAGTAAGTTTTTTAAAATTCCAAATAAGATTTTAGTTTTAGAGGTAAAAATCCTAATCCAATTTACTATGCCCATTTCCACCACTTATGCCAATATTTTACCTAAGTCTTCCCCACTTTTTCTTCATCTTGTTTGACTATCCCTTCCTTAACCATCCCCATTAGAACCACATTGCTATTTCAGCAGCATTTAATAAAACTCCAAGATAAATCCAAATCCCTCCTTTTCACCTTAAAGCCAAATTAATATAATTTTCATAATATACAATGAGATAGATGTTACTGTACATAAGACCAAAGACTTGGAAAAGAGAAAAGCAAGTCTTTTCTTTTAAATATATTTTTATTGATTTCAGAGAAAAAGGGAGAAGGAGAGAGACAGAAATGTGGCAGCCTCCTGCACACAGCCTACTGGGAATTGAGCCTGTTCTCCAGGCATGTGCCCTGACCAGAAATCAAATTGTGACTCAATTCATAGATCGACGCTCAACCACTGAAACTAGAGTACATTGGAGGAACAAATTAAAAGGAAAATGAGAAAATGAATGAACATTAATATAAAAGATGTCTTGTTATATAAATAAATATGAATAATACTTTCTATAGAACACTAGCTCCCTCTCTAAAAGATCTTGTTATCTTATGCAAAATTTTACAGAGTAACTCAAATTCTCTTCCAATCTATCTACAAAATGCCATTAGGGTCTGCCATTTATTAAATGCCTTTTACTTAAAAACTTCATAGGTACTTCCTTGTTTGGTCAAATGGTCACCACCATCTGTTCTAACATTTGATTGATAGGGTCAGAGAAGACAGACCATGACATCAAAATGGAACTATAACTGAAAGAATTTTGTGACAAAAATTCCACTTTCTATAGAAATGAATTTTGCTATTCTGTACCTGTCACCCACTGGTCCCATTAAAAATCTCTAAAGCAAAATGAAAGTCCTTTCATAGATGATAGCCTTTCAAATAATGTTATTATGCAACCTCTCAATTTTCTCTCAATAGAATAAAAAAACCCAACTTTCAGACATCACTCAAAATCCAGGATCTGACCCTAAAGAAGATCAAGGTTGTAAGAGTTATCAAAAATATCAAGCTATTCTCTATCAGTTAGTTTTCTACAAAAAGTATGTCCAAAGAGAAAACTAATCCAGCTACTTTTAAATTTAATTTAGAAAATGAGTAATCCCTACTATTAGAGAAAACATTTTTGGTTATATAAACATCATATTGGGCATTTAATTATCTAACACTATGTCAACATGTAAAAAGTACAAAACAAAAAACAAAAAACAACACACACCATCAATTCTTGAAAGTTTTTGGTTTCTTTCTTGCAAGATGAAATTCTGAAAGTGCTCTTTTCAAAGTAGTCACAGGAAAAAAAAAAACAATAGAGCAATAATGATAATTAAAATGTGCATAAATCTAAGAAACAGCTATATCACAATCCTATTCTTACACAGAAGCTAATACAACAAAATGGTAATGATAGTGGCAAAAATATAAAATTGGGAGACAAGATCCCTAGGTTCTATTAATCTTTTACACAAATTAGCCCTGTGAACTTTATCTACAGCATAGTTTTCAACTATAATACTAGAATAGATCTCGTATTAAGGATTAAATGTGTTTGATAACAGCAAATGCATTCAAATTAGGATGCCCAACATTATCACTGCTTAATGCATCCAAGAATTATACTCCACAATCTTTTTATTCCTTTTCTAGATGTAACAATTCCCCTTAAGACAAAAAAAACACAACACAGAACCATGAATTCACCATAATTATCTAAATATTTATACTTTACTTCACAATTGTTAGAAGAGAAACTTCTGATTTCTATTTTAGATACTTTTTTTTTTTTTTTTACAGTTAAGTGACTCACATTTTCATTCCAATATAGCATAGTTATTAAGGACATAGCACTTTGATCTGAAATGCCCAAACTCAAATCCAACACCATCACTTATGAGCTCTGTGTACCTACCTCATAAGATGGTGGTGAAAATTAAATTAATTACATGTAAAGTGCTCAGAACCATGCACAATATATAATAAATAGCTCAACCTGTGTTACTTATCAATGACTTAGGATTTCTCAACTTCATAGACTCAATCCCTTAAAAATACTGCATTTAGATATATTTACACAAGATAATTATTTTTAATTCATTGAGGCCATTATCTAAAATGAGTGTAACTTTAAATGTGGCTCTGATCTTAAGACATGTAAACAACAACAAAAAGGACATTTATCAAAACTGAAGAAAAAATACTGCAGTTAGCCATGAATCGTTCAAAAACATTTCAAACAGGTGAGATTCAAGGCAAATTTCAATGCAACAGACACATGAGAAAACTAACTGACAGTATGAAAGCATAGCTGGAAAGATTATTATAATCTATTGGCTTACCTGGAAGCGGAATTGGCATGCCAGGAAGGGGAACACGAAACGGAGGTACCATTACTGGTGGAAAAGCAGGTATCGCTGCTGCTGGCTGAGGTACTGAATGAGGGACAGCAGGAGGTAACGTCTGGGGGTGCGGCTGGGGAACATTTTGCACAGGTGTGGCTGTAGGAGCAGGAGTTGAAACACTAACTGTAGGCGTAGCAACTGAAACAGCAGAACTTGGGGTCTGATCTTGTGTTGTGGGTGCTGATAAAAGATAAAACAAAAATATGTATCACCCCTTCATAAACCATTTTACTCTATTCATTCATCATTCACTCATTCAGTCAGTATTTAAGGGCCCATTCCATGCACTGCAAGAAATTTGTAACAAGGTCTCTGTCTTCAAGAAGCTTGAAAATAGTTAAAAGAAATATAAAATGTAACTAAAACACAAAGAGAAATGGGATAAATGTATAGGCATGAAAATCAAGACCCAAAGACCAATTTTAACAGAGAGGTACAGAAAATTTTATGCTGTGATGGCAGATCTTGATAGATTAGGATTTCAACAAGGAAAATGACAAAGTGGAAAGAGAAAATAAGTAGTGGAAATAAATAAAAGCAAAGATTAGGAAATAACCAGGAACTATTTATGAAACAGAAGGCAAGCAGTCAACCAGTAAACACTAGGCATACCAACAGAACTAGTGAGTTATGGCTGGAAAAGTAGGCCAGAGGCACAAAGTTGAAGGCCTTGAACAAAAGACTAAGGAGTATATACTTCACTAGGTAGGGGAAGGAAAGAACTTATATAAATGTAGAAAAATGATCTAAAAGAATGCACACCAAAATATATTAACTCATTACATCTGTGTATATATGCCTTTCACTTTTTTACATATGCTTCTTTAGACTTTGAATTTTTAACAAGAATGTATTCACGTGTAATTTTTATGATTTCGTGAAAGTAAAAGGGGTATGGGGAGGCTGAATTAAGATTTCTGTTTTGAAGAATAATCAATGTTCATTTGATGAATTAACTTGGCAGATGCATAAGAAAAAAAGAAATAAAAAGATGGGAAAATCAATTTCAACATATCTGGATTTGTCCCAGCAAAAAAGAACAGAGAAAAAGAAATGCAATAACTAATGACTGACTGGATAGAAACAAATGGAATAAAAAACAACTTGGGTTTCTCTATAATTATTTCAAAAGAAAAAAGAAAAGAAAAAACAAAAAACTCAGGTTTCCAATATAAGAGACTAAGAGAATGAGAAATTCAGGATAATTTGGTTTGGCTAATATGTTACTTTTAAATATCAAAATTAAAATACTTTATCCCTAGTAATTACATTCACAATCAAATTGTGACCTGAAAATAAAATTCCTATTTCTTAAAGTTTCAATTCTCAAATATTACAAAATATGTTTGTTATTAATTCATAACCCAAAACAAAAATTCATTTTGGTGACTCATTGGTAAGAAATACTTCATCTTTCTCTGTCAAACTCTACCTATATTGAACTAAGACTAAATTTATCAAATTAAATATAATAAAGCAGTGCTTTTCTATTATTTTATTCTAAGAAAAAGCACACTGTTTAACACAAATCACCCGGTACTCCAACTGACAACAAAATATGTCAGTGTCTTTTTTTCAGCACCTAATAATGAAAAAACTCACTTAGGCTGGGAAGATGTGAGCAATTTCATACTTGTTAATAAGGGACTCACCTTGGCTAAATAGACAGCAGGGCCAAACAAGTATCTTCAGGGGCCCAGGAATGAATTGTTGGTCTAGCATAGACCTAGCCTTAGGGTACAGTATCATATTAATATAATTTTATAACATTGTGAAAAATACAAATTACATGCAACATTTGCCCAGTCCCATACATATACCATTTAGCATTTGTAATCTATTGTAATGGCTGAAAATATATCTAGTTATTCTGCCCAACTTCTCTGAGAAGTAGGATTTGTCAGCATTTTTCACAAACTTGAACAGGATAAAATGAGTTTATATTCAACTGGAGTTTAAATCATAAATATCTTAATTTTTATTTCCATTTTCCCAGGTCTATACTACAGTTCACAGAATTACATCTTTTAAAAATATTATGGTAATAGTATGTAGATATAAATACCAAAGTTTTGTACAAATTACTGTAGCCAGAAAATAAAATGTTATAAAGGCATCAAATTTAAGTGGAAAGGAATACCAATGGAGATGGCAAAAAGTATTTAATTCTACCCATTTCTCTTGCTGATACAGGATTTTCTGATTTGATTACTGGCGATAAGTCATGAGAGAAAAAGGATAAAGGCAATAAAAGAATTAAATGGAAACTAGGAAAATGGCAGCTAGGACTTTATAGTAGATAAATTCCTACTAATTCTATTTGCTAAGATAACTGAAACACTAGGTCTCCAAATTTATTACTAACCCATCCTCAGATCTCAACTAAAAAAGTGACTGCAACAACAGATGGAGAAATTTTAATTACTGTAGCATGACAATACTTTATGACAACGGATCAAGTAAAATAAAAATAGACATCAGGAGTACTCAGAAAAACATCAAAATTAATGTTTCAAGACAGTAAAAAGAACATGATTTTGCTATTCTGTATTCTGCCCTTAGAATAAAGGCCTCCCAATTACTGAGAGGGAGTGCAAAAAATGACAAATCAGAATGTTCTGAAAAGAAAAGTTGATAATCACAAGATAGCTACGGGCCTGAAGACCACCCTGACGTAGAAATGGAATGTACATAGGATAAAGTGTTTGGCTACCCACTATCCTTAAAACAAAGTAGTTCTCCTTCCTAAGCAGAAAACAAAACGGCAGAGCCTCCACAAAGAACCACACTGCTCTTATCAATCCCCCTCTCCCATTACCACCACAGGCGCCCCATAAAAGCCGACAATTTTCTGCCTTGCCACACAGAAGACTAGCCTATAAAAGGGCAAAGACCCTCAACCAGCTAGCTGTTAACTTCCACATCAGAATTCCCTGTTGTATTTCCATATCAGAATTTATCTTCCTATTAAGTACGGTATATGTTTATCTAAAAATTATCAAGTAGGGCCTTTAAAAAAACTGCCTCCACATTACACCTACCTTATTCTTATAGGTTACTTCTTGTATCAATAAGATAAATTCAAATTTGATTCTATTATTAAATTTCTCTCATATACATATTCCTTACAATGTACTATATACTAGTAATTCCCCAGTCCCTAAAATATTGGGGAAAGGGACACTTTATTTTCTTATTCTCATCTCTATTATCCATGTAGCAAATAATCCAAATTGTAATAACCTTGCAGAGACACGTATTTTCATAACTACCATAAAATCATTATTTAAATATTCTGGGGCTCAATCTCAGCTGTAGAATAAGTAGCACCAAATAAAAAGTAGTGGTATAAATATTAACGACAATCTTTTAAGCATACTAATATATCCTTCTTTCTTCATCCCTAAAAACTGCTATTAAGCACCTCTCATATTTTAGAAAAGATCTAACCTTTGGGCCTCTGTAACTTTATACCTGAAAATTCTCTTACCTTTTTGACTTCTTTTTCAACAACTCATTTCACCTGCCTATGTCCCATTATAAGATCTTTTCACCTCTGAATGGTATTACTGAAAAGTTCCTAGTAAGTTTCCAATTTCAACACTACCAAAAAAATGAGCATCAGAAAAATCTTCCAGAACACTGCATTTCTACAAGCTCCCTATTGCCTGCCTGACTCATCATTTGCCTGGTTCTTAAAACTCTTCATAATCTGATCTCACTCTTATTTATTAACCAAAATAAACCTTCCCACCTCAAAAGAGTACCTTAACAATTCCCCAAACTACAATTATACTCATTTCCTGAACTGGATGCTGTTCCTCTCTATTTAAGAGATCTCTCCTTACTTTTGAACTTACTCAAATTCTACCACAAATCCTTCTTGATCAACCTGAAGACCCATGCAATCCACCAACCTGTCAGTTTTCTCAAATTGTTACACCTCCTATTTTCGCTGTAAATTTTGCACACTATTTTACATGCATTATGCTGGCCTCCTCAATGAGAAAAACTGGACGTTCTATAAGATAGGGACCAAGACTTCCACTTACTCTGCAAAGCTCACAGCATCCAGCATTATTGTTAGCCAAGTTGAATAGCTACCTGCACTTCCCCAGTTTAGCTTCGTGAATTACAAGTGGGTAAATAATTTCTTCTACTAATGTATGTTTCTGTTCTTCTATCGTCAGAAGTCTTATGTCAAAAATGTTTTATAATAACATCAAGGATAATACTGAAACACTAGGATCATTTAGAATGCAGTCCCTACTTGTCCATTTCCCTAGCTGCTAAATAAAAACACATGCTGACTGGTACTCACTTGATACTGTCTGCGAAACCGAAGAGGCAGTTGTCGTAGTAGAAGTGGTAGAGGATGGGGTGGATGATGATGTTGACGTGGATACTGCAGGCGCTGGACTACTAGTCGTAGGGGTGGAAGCTCCTACTGCTTGTGCTTGCACTTGCGCCTGGGCCTGGGCCTGAGCCTGAGCCTGTGCTTGTGCCTGGGCCTGGGCCTGAGCCTGGGCCTGTGCTTGCGCCTGAGCCTGGGCCTGGGCCTGAGCCTGAGCCTGGGCCTGGGCCTGAGCTTGGGCCTGGGCCTGAGCCTGGGCCTGTGCCTGCGCCTGGGCCTGTGCTTGCGCTTGGGCCTGGGCCTGAACCTGGGCCTGGGCTGCAAGCATAGGTGTCAGTTCTGACTGCTGAATAACCTTAACTCCATCTGGCTTGCTCCAGGCAGATTCACGTGTCCGAGCATTATAATAATAAACCTGCAGAGGAAGCAAAATCACTGGTATCATAGAATCTGTCAACTGTCATTAAAAACTGGTAATGCAACTACATTTTGCCTTAAAATTAAGTTATTGGGAGAAATAAAACTTAGAAAAGAGAAAACATGAAAATTGGCTGCTCGCATTTTTATGCTACCATAGGTAATTTTCCCCTCCTTTTCCCCCTTCTAATTTCCTATAATGAGACACTATATTTTTAACACATACATTATTTTTGTGCAGTTAATACGGCTATCCTTAGAATGCCCTGCTTATAAAGTTGACCCTTGGCTGGCATCTGGAAATTTGGGTTTTGGGAGGGTTACCACCAATCCCTAACTGGTAAGAACAGCAGCTCACTGTGCCTAGATTGTTTACACAAAAAATGCAGTTCATGCTAAATGCCTACTTTCCCGCCGGGACCTGTTTGGCTCAGTGGATAGAGCGTCAGCCTGCGGATTGAAAGGTCCCAGGTTCAATTCCAGTCAAGGGCAATGTACCTTGGTTGAAGGCACATGCCCAGTGGGGGGTGTGCAAGAGGCAGCTGGTCGATGTTTCTCTCTCATCGACATTTCTAACTCTGTCCCTCTTAATTCCTTTCTGTGTAAAATCAATAAAATATATTTAAATGCTTGCTTTCCCTCTGGGAGTCTAGAATTTTGGTATGTGCTAAGCAAAGGGCACCAGTCCCCAATTGAAATCCCTTGACTCCCCAGCTCAGATGAGCTTCTCTGGTAGACAACTCTTCAAGTATTTTGTCACAATTCCATGCTGGAGAAATTATACATATTCTATGTGCTTCCAAAGAGTGGAATCTTGGAAGCTTGTGATCCATTTACTATAGACTCCGTCCCATCACCTTTTTCTCTTTGCTGGTTTTGCTTTGTACCCTTCCACTGCAATTAGTCTTAGCTGCGAGTACAACTACTACATGCTGAGTCCCGTGAGTCTTCCTAGTGAATACTAAACCTTAAGAGTTGTTCTGAGGAGCCATAATACCTATTTAAAATACAAGCTTCCAGAATCACAGGTAAACAGATATGTAAGCATTCTAGTCTAGCGTGGAAGTCCAATCCACTAAGACTTTCATCAAGCTGTACCCCACGTCCTGCTTATCCCAGGCTCATTCTTAATTGGCAAGAATATTCTCATTGATCCCAATCTGCCAGAACTTTTCTGTCACTAAGAGTTTTACTCTTCTGTCCCTAAGGAGTTAACAACCTAAATATATTTTTTAATTTACCTTCCCATCTGGCGTTTTATTTTCAACCCATATCTCCTCAGTCGGAGGCAGTGCTGGAGTACCAGGGGCAGTCACAGGAGGCATTCCTGGTGGAAACATCATACCCGGAGGAGGAGGCATGGTTCCCATGGGTGGAGGCATGAAAGGTGGTCTCTGTTAATTCAATTCATAAGAACAGTAATGGTCACTTGTATTTATCTTTTTTTCCTTTCAAATTATTACTAAATTCTACCCCAAAGTAAAGTACTATAAGAGCAACCAAACTAGTTTTACAGTCCATTCAAATACACTCATCTACGATGCATAAGCAAAGTTTCTCTGGAACAAAAATGATTACTAAACAGAATGGAAAGAAATACATCAACATATAGTAGTTATCTCTACGTAATAGCATTACGGGTGAATTTTGCTTTATTATTTATACTTTAACTGCATATTTCACACACTAGGCACTAGATTCACTAGGCACTAGATTACTTTCAGAATAAGTGGCTTTTGTATCTTTTTTAATAACTGGCACACCAATACCTCCACCTCTCACTTCAGTAAGAACCAACCAAAGGAAAAACATTACTTTACAAGTAACATAGCAACAACTGAAAAAGAAAAATTGAATATAGCTGATCCTTTTTCCTTTAAGAAAAAAACATATTAGCTAGAAAAACATTCATCATTTTCAATTTTTCAAATAATAGTAACAATAAGTAGCTCACTAATGACATGAACATCAGTTAAGTTTAAAAGATATAGTAAAATTAGGACATTTCTGGAGAATCCAAGATGGCTGCATAGCTAAACACCTAGTCACAGCAGCACACAACAATTTCAATAAAATACAACTAAAATATATAATGGACATTACCCAGAACTACAGGAAAGTCGACTGACTGGAAATTCTACAACGAGAAGCAAGGAGAAACCAGAAGGAAGAGCGGAGGAGCTGTAAAAGCCTAAGGTACAGAGATACGCAGTGTGCGGAGAGAGGACGGAGCCGGAGAGGAGGGCGGCTGAGTGCCTGGCTGGCGTTCCCTAGCAGGAAGGAGATAAAAGCTCTGACTGTGCTGGGCCCCAGTTCCGACTGCTCTGAACCCCAGTTCTAGGCCAGACCCTGGGGTCCCAGGCTCAAACAGAGGGAGCTAGTCTGTAAGGCAGAACCCCGGGGGAGCGGTGAAAGGAGGTCCCGGAGGCGCACACATTGCGCGCGAGAAGGGACGCTTGGCTGTGCCTCGGGATTGCCCTGGCAGGAAGGAGACAAAGCTCCGACTGCTCTGAACGCCACCTCCAACTGAACTGAACCCCAGTTCCAGGCTCATTGGGGGAGAGCCTAGATTGTTTGGTAGCAGGCGAAAATCGAGGGCACCTTTCTCTCAGAGGTGCTTGCGACGAGTACTGAAGGACCCTGGGGATTACTGAGACTCAGGAGCCGCATAGGGCAGGGCTGACGGACGCCAAAGCTGTAGGCTCCACCCTGAAACCCCGCCCCCATCAGGGAAGCAGCGAAAATGCCGAGACAATGAAATAGATCACAAATGAAAAAAATGGAGGACAAAAAGCGACTAGATATAGAGTTCAAATCTTTGCTTATAAGGTTTTTCAAGAATTTCCTAGAAAAGGTTGATAAGACCTATGAGGATATGAAAAGGGATCAACTAGAATTAATAAGGAATCAACAAGAAATGATAAGTGATCAATAAGAAATAAAGAATACACTGTCTGAAATAAAAAATATTATACAGAGTCCTTAAAACAGAATGGAAGATCGCAAGAATCAAGTCAAAGATTTGGAACATAAAGAGCCAAAAAACACTACTCCGCAGAAGCAAGAAGGCAAGAGAATCCATAAAATTGAAGATAATGTAAGAAACCTCTGGGACAACTTCAAGCGAACCAACATCAGAATTATGGGGGTCCCAGAAGATGAGAGAGAGCAAGATATCGAAAGCATACTGAAAGAAATAGTGACAGAAAACTTCCCCCACCTGTTGAAAGAATTAGACTTACAAGTCCAGAAAGCGCACAGAACTCCAAACATCGACCTATGAACCAGGCAGCCATGGTTCTCAGTCAGGGCACATGCCCAGGGTTATAGGCTCGATCCCCAGTAGGGGGTGTGCAGGAGGCAGCCGACCAATGATTTTCTCTCATCACTGATGTTGCATTCTCTCCCCCTTTCTCTAAAATCAATAAAAATATATTTTGAAAATAATAAAATACTGAAATAGAAAAATAAATAGCGATAACTAAGACAGTTATACCTTTAAAATTCAAACTTCATTTCCCGTAAAGAAGATGGACTAAAGACAATTCTCAGAGATAAAGGCAGATAAGAAATACTCTATTTAATCTCAGTTTCCTATGTAGCGTATTTTTCTATCTAAATTTCTATTCAAAACCACAGCTTTTGGAGCAATAAGTTAATATATGGATTATATTTTCCTATAAAGTGAAACTAAGAAGACAGTTTTGAAGGCAAAACTGACATACAGTATTAACAGCAATAAAGAAATGACAACCTCTGTATTCTTTACCTGAAGGTGCGGAGGGCCCATAGGTGGAGGAATCCCTCCTGGAGGAGGCATTGGTGGCATATTAGGGTCAAAAGGAGGACGTCCAAAGGGGGGCCGAGGTGGTGGCGGAGGACCTCGCATCATACCAAAAGGTGGAGGAGGTCGCATGAGAGGCGGTGGGCCTCGCATCACTGCATTTGGCGGGGGAGCTGGGCCTCGAAACCTCAAGGCCTGCTGTTGAGCCATCCTGTGGGGAAAACAATGAATTAATTTCTTTCTCAAAATTACAAAATGTAGTGTCTGATCTCTAATTACATCGAATTCAATAGGCCCTTAAGAACAAGTAGAGATGGAAAGGCATAATTTTGCAACCATCCCAGTAAAAGTGCATCAGTAAGAATGAGCAATGGAAACCAAATCTAGGAGGAAAGCTGGATGAAGATATCCAGGTGATCTTAAAACGTCTCCTCACATGCTGCTTATGACTGCAAGGGAAGACGAAAAAAATACTATGTTATAGAGAAATCATGCAACATCTTGACCAGTGGATCTACATTAATATCATCCAAAAAGGACAGATGGACATCATGTGACTGAGAGAAACACATCACCTATTCCAGGCAAGAATGTATACCCTCAAATTAATAATGATGAAATAGCCGAAACTGGTTTGGCTCAGTGGATAGAGCATCAATCAGCCTGTGGACTGAAAGGTCCCGGGATTCCGGTCAAGGGCATGTACCCTGGTTGGGGGTACATACCCGGTGGGGGGTGTGCAAGAGGCAGCTGATCCGATGTTTCTCTCATCGATGTTTCTAACTCTCTATCCCTCTCTCTTCCTTGTGTAAAAAAAAATCAATAACATATATTTTAAAAAAAGAGTGGCTAGATCACCTTGGCTACTTTTAAAAAAATTATGAAATAGTAGACAAACACACACACACAAAAAAGAAAGTTCTATTTAAAAGGGGGAAGCAGAGAATATATTCTTCAGAAATGTGGATATTATGCATAAAAGACAAAGGCAGGCTGTGGAAATGTAAAGGAGCTAAAGAGACATGACAACACAACATTAATTCTATATCAAATCCTATCCCAAAGGGAAGAAATGCTATAAAAAAATTTGTGGATTAATGGACAACACTAGAATAAGAACAACAGATTAAAGTATTGGTTATATCACTATAAATTTATGAAGTTGGTAACTGTATTTAGGCAAAATATTTCTATTCTTAGAAAATGTATATTTAAGTATTTAAAAGTATAGGGCCACAGTATATGTATCTTACCCTCAAACAATTCAAAGTAACGGAGCATGCATGCGAGCAAATAATAAGGCAGAAAAGGTAAAATATTAATACCAAGTGTACTATCTTTATTTTTTGCATCTTTTGATAAGTTTGAAATTACTTCCAAATACAAAGTTTTTACAGGATGGAGGGTAGCGGGCTTACGAGATCACTAGTACATGGAAAGCCTTTCTCTACACTGCACCCTATCCAACCCTTCAATCTCTAGCTAAAACACCCTGGTTTATTTTCTCTATGGTATATAAGCAGACACACAGTGTTACATGTTATTATCTATCTCCCTCTCACAAGTGCTTTTTAAAAAAATTAAATTGGGGGAAGAGGGGGGAAAGAGGAACACCTGTAATAATCTAAATAATGATTTCTTATTTTAAAAAATTAAAATTATTCATTCTTAAAATTACTATATATCACGCAGTGCTCTAAGCTCTTTTTAAATCCTTTAATCATTGTAACACCCCTATGAGATATATATCATCAACCTCATTTATACATGAGGACACTAAAGCAAGTTGAAGTCAAATAATTTGCCCAAGGCCACACAGCTGGTTGAGTGGAAAAGCCAGGATTCAAATACAGGCAAATATCTCTTAAACACTACATGACACTGTGTATGTAAGTGCCTTTAGAGCAGGGATTCTGTCTGCCCTGTTTATCCTTAGATCCCCTGTACATAGTTAGGTCTACACATAGTAGGCCTCAATAAATATTTGTTAAATGAACCAATGAATACCTAAATAGGGGATATTGTACCTACACTTCCTCACAAGTAGGATATGTAGAATCTTATAAACATTATCTATACATATAAAAGCCAAAGTGACCATTCGACTGATAGCAATGATAAGCACTTACCACCAGGGGGCAGACACTGGAAACATGGAACAGACTAATGAATCTCAAAGGGAAAGGAGGGAGTACGGGAAGAGATTAACCAAAGATCTTATATGCACGCTAGAGGCCCGGTGCACAGATTCATGCACTGGTGGGGTCCTTCGGCCTGGACAGCAGGGATCAGGCTGAAACCAGCCTGGTACAGAGATTTGTGCACTTGTGTGGTCCCTCAGCCTGGCCTGCAGGGACTAAGCCGAAACTGGCTCTGTAACATCCTCCAAGGGGTTCCGGATTGTGAGAGTGCACGTGAGCAAATAATAAGGCAGAAGAGGTAAAATATTAATACCAAATGTACTATCTTTATTTTTTTGCATCTTTTGATAAGTTTGAAATTACATCCAAATACAAAGTTTTTACAGGGTGGAGGGTAGTGGGCTTACAAGATCACTAGTAAATGGAAAGGACTCCACCAGTGCACAAATCCGTGCACGAGGCCTCTAGTTTTTACTATAATTTGCCATAGTCGATTAAGTACCTACCTATCAGTTTAACCAGTTGCTACTATAAATCTCTCCATTATTCATGAAATGTACATTTCTGTGCTCAAGAAAAAATTAGCAATTACAATTGTTTTGGCTTTTTTTTTTTAAAATATATTCACTGGAGGATATTTTTTCCATTGATTTTTAGAGAGTAGATTGGTAAAGACAGAAACATCAATGTGAGAGAAGTACATTGACTGGTTGCTTCCTGCACAAGCCCTGACCAGGGCCCAGGTCAAGAAAGATCCTGCAACCATGCTGCAACCAAGTACATGCCCTTGACCAGAATCGAACCCATAACCTTACCCAGGACCCTTTGGTCCGTCCCCAGGCCAATGCTCTATCCACTGAGCCAAACCTAAGGCAACAATTACCGTATTTTTCAAACCATAAGACGCACTTTTCCCCCCCCCAGAAGTGGGGGGAAAAAGTCCCTGCATCTTATGGTCCAAATATAGCCTACACATATACTTTAAAAAAAAAGTTTTTTTACTTGCCCGGCTCTGTGTGGTCTCTGTGTGCTTGCCCGGCTCTAAAATGGTTCTAAATGCTGCTGTTTACTTTACAGGGTTGATTACATGTGTTTATGACTGTGATGCACAGAAAATATTTAATGCACATAAAATATTTTAGGACACTGTTTGTTTCAGAATCTTTTTTTCTTCATTTCCCTTCTCTAAAAACTGGTGCGTCTTATGGTCTGGAGCGTCTTATGGTCCGAAAAATACGGTATATTCTTTATGTATATTTGAAGATAATTATTCTTATATTCTCTTCTCACCAGGCTCTCCCAAATTTCCCACACTTCAACTCTGCTTAAAATTACACTTAGTTTTTCTACATTTTCTATATCATAGTTCAAGTCTGACATAAAAAATCCTAATAACCAATTTTCCTTCTAGCATACTAGGGTTGTAAACATCCAGAATGCATAAACCAACTGCACTTAACCAGATTTGCAAATGACCTTATCTCAAAGTATAATTTAAAAACAATGACTAAAAAAAGGAATATGGATTATGTCAGAGTAATTAGTCTTTCTCAAATTATATGTATTCCTAAAAGACACATGGCTACCATTACTGAATAACCTTTTGTGCAGAAACAAAGTGCAGAATATCAAGGAAAGATATTCTGTTTCAGCCTTGAGTTAATAATGTACCTTAATCTTAATGTACATCTGCCTCTCCCCTTTAAAAATGATCAACAGTACTTATTTCTTTGAAATGTCACACTTCCTAGTTATGGCTCGAAGTTAAACATTTAGGCTTTAGAATGATGAAAAAGTCAAATCAGGGCTCTGCCTTTTGTTGTCAAACTAGTTACATAATTCTGAGTCTGAGAATACTCAGATGTAAATGAGCTGGGGAATAAAAATAAAAGCTATCTCATCTCCCTATTCAATGAGATAATCCCTGTGAAACAGTTAAGAGTACTTAATACACACTAACCCACTTTAACTACCATTACTTTCATTCCCCCAAAAACCTGGCACTATGCTCTACCTACCGTTTCCCTAAAAATAAGACAGTGTCTTATATTAATTTTTGCTCCCAAAGATGCACTAGGTCTTATTTTCAGGGGATGTCTTATTTTTCCATGAGGAAGAATACAGTACACATTTATTGTTAAATGAAAATAAAGGAAATTTATTATCTGTATACGGTATGGTAGTACGGTAGTTGTCAACACAAACCAGACAAACTGTGAATCCTACAGTATCAAGAATTTACTCATTTATTCAATGACAATCATGTCAATCATCTTCAGGAACATCATAACAATCCAATTCCTGAATTTCCTGGTGAATTTCTTGTGACTCCATTTCTTTCAGAATCAGTGGACCAAATCTCTCATGTTTAGCCTAGGGGGGCCTTATTTTCAGGGGGATGCCTTATATTTCACTCAGAAGGAAACCTGTAAGTAGGTCTTATTTTCGGAGGATGTCTTATTTTCGGGGAAACACGGTATGTAGAGCCCTAGCGGGTGTGGCTCAGTTGGATCAGCCAAATTCATGCACCAAAAGCTTGCCAGAGTTGCAATTTCAATCGCCAGTAGGGGGCAGCCAATGGACCTTTATCTCTCACATCAATGTTTCTCTCTCTTCCTCTCTCTTTTCTTCTCTAAAAATCAACAAAAACATTTTTTTTAAAGGCACTTAGTTGTCAATTTGACTAAATGTCTTTCAAAAGTCTGCCACTAAAATAGACACAGAATTCAGTTTCCTCCATCGGCATCTTGGACCTGTCCTAAGCTCTTCACACACACTGCTTCATTGCAGGCAACTTTAACCAGAACCTGCAGTGAGGATTAAATGAGCTAATAAAGTATGTGAAACAGCACCTAGCACATTAGTGCTCTCTAAGTATAGCTTTTATTACTGCTGCAATAATATTAGTGTAGTAATAGTACTACTAGTAAGTTTTAATGGTACTAATGTCAGTATAGTGTAGCTACTATTATTCGATACTATAATTATTTCCAGGCTCTACATAACATGCCTCTTCTTGATCTGTCTACAGACTCCAGCCTTTTTTTTTAAATTTTTTATGCTCACCTGAGGATATTTTTCCATTGATTTTTAGAGAATGGAAGGGAGAAGGAAGGATAGAGAGAAACATTGATGTAAGAGAGACAAATTGATTGGCTGCCTCTCGCATGCAAACCTGACCAGGATTGGGAGCTCACAACTAAGGTACGTGTGCCCGTGACCAGAATCGAACTCAGGGCCCTTCAGTTCACAGACCTATGCCCTATCCACTGAGCCAAACCGGGTAGGGCTCCAGTCTTCTTTTTTGATCCAATACTTCAAGTTCATTTACCTTGAAGCCTCTGCCCTTATTGTTCCCTCTGCCTGGAATGCTTTTCCCCAGATCATTATATAACTGGCTCTTTTAAATTATCAGTCTTAGTTCCTCACACTCCTTTCCCACCCTCAGCCTCTCAGACCCTCTCTGGTTCATTACCCAATTTAAGTTTTCTTAAAATATATTTTTATTTATTTCAGAGAGGAAAGAAGAGGGATAGAAAGATAGAAACATCAAAGATAAGAATCATCGATTGGCAGCCTCCTACACTCCCCTTACTGGGGATCAAGACCATAGACCGTGTCGCATTGTGTCCAGGCTGGGAATGGAACCGTGACCTCCTGGTTCATTTGGTTCCTAAGTTGACACTCAACCACAAAGCCACACAGGCTGGACACAATTTAAATTTTAAATTATGACAAACTAGAGGCCTGGTACACAAATTTGTGCATCGGTGGGGTCCGGCAGGCCCGCCCCTATGGGGGTCCATAGGACCGAGCAGGCTGGGGGGGGGGGGGGGGGGCCAATAGGGGCCTGGATCAGGCTGGTTGGCTGCCACAGTCATTCTGATTGTTCCACCATTCCGGTCGCTGGACTTTTATATATATAGATGCTAAGAAAAAACCTCTCACTTGCGTACTTTTGTATTATACCCACTAATAATGTAGTTTCCCCTTAGTATACTGCTGCTTTCCAGTGTAGAGGATGGTGGGTGCTCAAATGTTATTGTTTTGATGGCCAAAGAGAAGGGGGGGGGGAGGGTGGTGGGGACTGGGTGGAGATGGGCAAGAAGGGAAGGGAATGGGGACATCTTCAACAGTGTCAACAGTGTTAATAAAGTTTTTAAAAAAGAAGCCCTGGCTGGTTTGGCTCAGTGGATAGAGTGTTGGCATGTGGACCAAAGGGTCCTGGGTTCAATTCCAGTCAAGGGCACATACCTGGGTTGTGTGCTTGATCCCCAGTGAGGGGGGGGATGCAGAAGGTAGAAATCAATGATTTTCTCTCATCATTAATATTTCTTTCTCTCCCTTCCTCTCTGAAATTAATAAAAATACATATATTTTTAAATTGTTTTAATAATGACAGAGAACACTGGGTATTTCCAATATGCCAAGAACGATTACATGGACATTATTTGCACCAACTCTTTATCCTCACAGCAATACATTGAGGTAACTTTGGCACAATTTTTAGAGGAAACTATGTCACAGAAAAATAGTTGTTTAAGGTACTAGTCAGTGGTAACAACAGTGTAATCTTATTCTTGTTTTACAATGAAGGAAATTTAGACTGAAAGTACCTTGTCATAAGGTATTAATAGGTAAACTAAGACCCTGGGTAAAGGATCTATACAAATATGACTCTAAAAGTTATCTTACCGTATTTTCCGGCGTATAAGACGACCCCCTAATTTTTACAGTTAAAACATAGGTTTAGGCCTATATTCGCTGTATAAGACTACCCCCCACTTCCGAAGCAACGCCAGTTCTTTTTTTAATAGACCGCCTCTCTGACTCTGGCCAATCTGAGCAGGCTTTTTACTAGAACAACAATCCTCAACATAAAGGAATGAATAACATTTGGATCTCCAAATAAATTTTGTCTCTTGCAGGTTATTTGCATTCCTACCACTTTCAACCTTTTTGAAAACAGAAGACTTGCAAAAATAGAAACAACTTTTTTTTTTTTTACAAGAACAAATGTATTTCTCTAGAGCACATGTGTCAAACACAAGGCCCGCGGGCCAAATCCGTCCTGCCAGGCCTTGCAATGTGGCCCGCACCGCGCTGTCATCACTGCACTCCGCTGCGTTTCCATCACAATGACAGTTTATGACTGTTCAGTAAACCATTCGGCCCTCGATTTAGGCTGGATTTTAGATTTTGGCCCCTTCTCTGATTGAGTTCGACACCCCTACTCTAGAGGTACTCTATCTAGATATGCAATCCCGCACTAGTGAAGACAAGACTGCAAATACTTTAACAGGAGAGACAAAATGGGAAGATGCTGCTGACATAGGGGAGGCCAATCGACTCTGCCAATTACTCGGTGACCTTGTAGAAGTCACTTTCCCGCTCATTTGATGTGGCTAGTTTAATTCATAATTTAGATCAATCTTAATTAGTATGGATGCTCCAAAAGATTTTGGTCTGGTTCAAGTCTCTACTGCCAGCACCTACGTCAGTGACTGTCACATAGCACACAATAAATTTGGTTCTAATAAGCAAACCATCTCTAAATCACCTATATTCATTTATTACCATAAAGCCACCAAACTCTATTTGCCAGACACAGATAGACAGACAGACACACCACAAAATACCTTCACGTGATACACATGATACAAATACGAAAACCAAGGCCCAATTTCTGCCATCAAAAAGATTGCCTAAAAAACAGCCAATTTATCTTAAGCCACGAAAAGTACTAAAATAACGGTCTGTACAACATGCTTTGGAAGCAACTTCCAACCCAAGAGGCTTAGGCATACAATATTTGCAACGGAACACCTAATTTAAAGCCCTGCTCAAATCAGTTTTGCATCAACGTCTAGACTGCTGTTAATAAACTCTAAAAGGCAACTCCTTGTAAAGCTGAAGACGCTCTCCTCTCTGAGATGCAAGGGAATGTCCCCAAATAAATTCAGGTGACCTTGAGATCAGAACCAGGAATAAACCTTCCTATCACTGATACGGAATGACCCTGGCAACACTCCTTCATCACTCATCACCAAAGCCAATTACACGTATGGGGTCTCAAGGATTTGAGATTCATCTCGGAAGACAAGATTTCACTCCTGCCAAAAGTAGGAATTTCTGGGTGTGACAACCCAGAATCTGTATAAAACCTTGAGAAACAAACCCCATTTCCTGACACAATTTCAACCTGAGCTCTAAACAATGCCAGACTGCTCTCTCTTCCTCTTCGGATGCTGACAAGGGCACAATTCGGAATGGGAGCTGAGCATCTGAAATGACATTTTCCCCATGGGGGAGGGGATGGGGGGGGGGGGGAGTCTCAAATACCCAGAAAGCTTAGTACCTCTTTTTATTCTTCCTGACTAAAGGTTTTTTTGTGTGTGTCTCCCCCCCATACCCCCCCAGGGCACTTTTACTTGACAAAATCTTAATCACGAACCCCCAGAGGCCTTGGGGCACCAGAAGAGGAAAGGTCACTGACCTCTCCCTCTAAGGGCACAGGCTCCGAGCCCGACTCCCTCCCTGGGCTCCCAAAGCCACTCCCTGGCGCTCCCATCCCTACTCCGCGACCCGGTCCTACCGCCTCGGCCACCGCCTGCCTCAGTTTCCCCGCCTGCACCGCGGGCAAGCAGAGGCTGCACTAAAGATGGTTCCGGTCTGGTTGCCTGCAGAATGAGAACAGCAGCTCCTCCCGGGGGTTGGAAGGTGAGGACCGGAGGAGACAAACTCTAAGGAAGCGCTTCCCGGCACCTACGAGGACGCAGCAACGGCCGCCGCTATTGTTATTGGGCACAGACGCCGCCCGGGAGGGGAACGGCGGGGAAGGGAGGCAAGGCCGCGATCGGTTAGGTGAAGCGGGCGATCGGGGGGAACGTGGAGACCCCAGCGGCCCGCGGGGTGCGGGGAAGCCGGGCCTGGAGGGCCGAGGGGCTCCGGGGAGCGCCCTGCGGAGCGGAGGGGGCGCCCCCGGGGACAACGCGGCCCGCGGCGGCGCGGGCTGAGGTCGCCGGGGCGGCGGCTGCATGCGGCCCAGGCGTCGCCCCGAGGCGGGAACGTCCGGCCGGGCCCGGGGGCCGCAGCCGCCAGGGGCGCTGGGCCCCCGCGAACACCGCTGGGAGCGCCCCGAAAACGGGCAGGAGGCCGCGCGGCCCAGCCGCCGCCGCCGCAGCCCCAGCCCGGCGCTCTCTCATTCAAGCCACCTTCCTCTTCCCCCCTCCGCCAGCCCCATGCGGTCCTCGGACCCGGGCCGCCGCGGGGCCTCCGTCCGCCCTCCGCCCCGCATCCCCGCGGCCGGCCCACCCGCGGGGACGCCGGCAGGCCCCGGAGACACACGGAGCGGCGCCCTTTACCTGAGCTCCCCCGGGTTGAAGCGCTCGCCGTCCCCCCCGTCCCCGCCACGCTCCGCCATTACAGAAGACCGCGTTCATCCACCCGCCGACCCGGCGTGCTCTATTGGTTAGGCGGGTCATCAATCTCGAGCGAGAGGGGCGGAGGCAGCAGGGATCTGCGAGCTGAGTGGTGGAATTTCCCATCAATCCTCGAGCGGAGGGCGGTATCTGCCTTGCTATTGGTGGAAGGGCCCGCCGACTTTGAAAGCGGTATGGAGACAGCCGCTTGATTGGTCGCTCGGAGGCTTTATGGGAAATGAGACTGAAGCGACGAGGAACCGCCAGCGCCCTCTCGCGGTAACCAGAACTAGGTCCTCCCACGTCGCGCCCAGGCCTGCGGTAGCCACGTGTCCGCCGGGCTTCCTGGAAGGCAATTGTGGAGAATATTGACCACATGCTGGCGATATCGGCTAGGTCAGAGACCATTTTTTTTGCGTGAGCCAATCAAAAATCGATCTCGAGTAGAGCTGCAACCAACCACAGGGTTTGTGTGGAAATGAGCTATTTCCCAGCTTTTCAGAGTGAGAAGTAACATATTACCAGCTACTTGAATGACTTCTAAGTTGTATTAGATAATTAGCTGCTGGCTGATGAGTGTTATAAATTGCTGCATTAAGTAAGTTGGGGAAGGCAAGCCTCTTCGTAATTTACAGTTTCAAGCATCTGTTCTTAGATTTCAAAATACATTTGTCTGAAACTAGCACATCCTGATACCCAGAAGGGTATTCTGAATATTTATTTCTCTTTTTTATTAAAGGAAAAGATACATCTTTAGGTTCTGGGTTTTCAAAAGGTACAATGAAGATAAGCCCTATCATTAATTTGCTCAAAATATTAAAATAACAGATAAAATTTACTCACACCTAACTATATATACCAGGCATTACCCCAAGTACTTTCCATGTCCTTTAAGGCCTCATATTCAGTAAGAATAGCCAGTGTGTAGATGAGACTGAGGCACAGAGAAATTAAGTAGCTTATCCAGGTTCACACGACTTGTGGGTGTCAGAGCCTGGCCTTCAGGCAGGGTGGCAGAATCGCCCCATTTCTGAATACCATGAGGCAAGAAAACTGGAAACACACATCCACACAAAAACTCGTACACAAATGTTCTTTGCAGCATTACTCATAACAGCAAAAAAGTGGAATCAGCTCACACTGTCCAAATAACTTATAAATCTATTTAAAATGGGATATATCTATATGAAGAAATATTATTTGGCCATAAAAAAGAATAACATACGGATACATGCTGTAATATTGAACCTTGAAAACATTATGCATGTGAAAGAAGCCAGACACAAAAGGCTATATACTATATGACTCCACTTCTTTTCTTTCTTTCTTTCTTTCTTTCTTTCTTTCTTTCTTTCTTTCTTTCTTTCTTTCTTTGTGTGTGTGTGTATTATGATTCCATTTCTACTAAATGTCCAGAATAAGGCAGATCCTTAGAGACAGAGCAGATCAGTGTTTTCCAGGACATGGGGAGAGTGATTGCTAATGCCTATGGGACTTCTTTTTTGGATGATGATAATGTTCTAAAATTAGACAGTGGTGATGATTGCAAAAGGTGGTGAATGTACTAAAACACATGGAATTATACAATTTAAAGGATGAATTTTATTATATGTGCATTATATATTTTTAAAAATATGTTTTTATTGATTTCAGAGAAGAAGAGAGAAGGAGAAAGAGATAGAAACATTAATGATGAGAGAGACTCATTAATTGGCTGCCTCCTTCATGCCCCACACTGGGGATGGAGCCTCCAAACCCAGGCATGCACCCTGACCTAGGAATTGAACCATGACCTCCTGAGTCATAGGTCAACACTCAACCTCTGAGCCACGCCAGCTGGGCATATGTGCATTATATTTCAATAAACACCGTGCTATATTGAACCCCAGTTCAATATTCAAAATTAATTATGGTAATATGTGATAAGAACTGAACACAATTATGAGCATGATTAATTGGTAAAGGAAAGGATGGTTGAAATTTCACTAAATATGTGACATTCAAACAAACTGGAGTCTAACATTGTGTGCATCCCCAAGTCCTGCCCTGTAGTTTCATAACTATTACAAAAATAATAGTGGTATAGATGGTTCATGACAAAATAATCCCCACCGCTGGGAAAAAATTCAAAATGAATACTTTATAGAAACCAAGTCAATGGTGTTTATATAAAAGATGAAAACGAATGTCCGTTTGAATGAATGGAAGAAACTCCTTGTAGATTTAATATAAGGTTTTTTATTTGATAGTTTCCAGTCAGGCCTCCTTCCTGGCCAAGGTGCCGGCTCCTCCTCTAGGCCCTGCCAGGCCCTCAGTTTTCATTATATTATTTATATCTATATTTTAAGATATTTATATCTTATTGTTTTATTTTTAAATATATAGAGCAGGTATATCTACATATACTAGAGCAGGCGTCTTCAAACTATGGCCCGCGGGCCACATGCGGCCCACAGAGGAGTCTGATCCGGCCCGCCAGGTTTTTTGGGCAGTGAGCGCAGCCGAGGTGTTACAGTAGGAATTAGTAGTTCATATAGTCCGGCCCTCCAGCTCTCTGAGGGACCGTGATCTGGCCCCCACTTTAAAAAGTTTGAGGACCCCTGTTAGAGCCTTGGTGCACGAAATTCGTGCACTGGAGGGGGGGGGTCCCTCAGCCTGGCCTGCCGTCCTCTCGCAATCTGGGACCCCTCAGGGGATGTTGGGCCTAAACTGGCAGTCGGACATCCTTTTCTCAATCCGGGACACTGCATACACCAGTGACCATACTTTTCATACAGGTGAAAGGCATCTTGCTGTTGTATAGGAGGTACATTTTTTAAAATATATTTTATTGATTTTTTTATAGAGAGGAAGGGAGAGAGAGAGCTAGAAACATGGATGAGAGAGAAACATTGATCAGCTGCCTTCTGCACACCCTCTACTGGGGATATGCCCACAACCAAGGTACATGCCCTTGACTGGAATCAAACCTGGGATCTTTCAGTCCACAGGCCAATGCTCTCTATCCACTGAGCCAAACTGGTTTTGGCGGGAGGTACATTTTTTTTAATTATAAAAAGTAGTACATACCATGATCCTTCTGAGGCAGTAGTACCACTTTCCCCATCATATGGGTGGAAAACTGAAGCAGGTAGAAGTTAAGTAATTGGCTTTGTCACACAGTTATAAGTGTCAGAATCAGGGCTGACCACAAAATGTGCAAGCCCCACAGCTTGAGAACCGCTAGCAGGGTCGCCTAAGACCACCAGAAAACACAGATATTTACATTATGATTCATTAACAGCAGCAAAATTACAGTTATGAAGTAGCAACAAAAATAATTTTATAGTTGGGGGTCACCACAACCTGAGGAGCTGTATTAAAGGGTCATGGCATTATAAAGGTTGAGAACCACTGATCTAGAGGCTTTGCTTAAAAAAAAAAAATAATATTTGTTCAAGGATCTTGGGGTTTTCAAACTTGGAACACAGCTGGGCAAAAACTGAGAAGTGCTCCAAAGAAGAAAGAAAAATTAAAAATTCTTATAGTAAAAAGTATGTCCTGATTCTTAGCCCTAGGATTGGTCCAGGATAGTCATCAATCAGATGGATGCCAGGTGGGTGTATATGAGCGGCTCAGGGAATCTCTGAAGGACTCACATATGTCCAGATGAATATCCAGTTGTGGTAGGCAGTTAGACATAATCAGAATAAGGCCAGGTATAGAAAGCCTGGGGGGATTGGGCCAAAACCAGCTCTCTGACACCTCCTGCGGGGTCCTGGATTGCAAGAGGGCACAGGCCAGGCCAAGGGACCCCACCTGTGCACAATGGGGCCTGGGGAGGGACTGCTGGAGGGCTCCAGGGCATGTCTGGCCTGTCTCGCTCAGTCCCAATTGGCCAGATCCCAGCAGCAAGCTAACCTACTGATTGGAGCATTTGCCTCCTGGTGGTCAGTGTGGATCATAGCAACTGGTCAAATGGTAGAGTGGTCATACACGTAGCACATTAGGCTTTTATTATATAGAATTCCAGATCTAAAATTATACTATTAAATTTTTTCTGTTTCTCAAATTTAAAACAACAATATCTCAAGAGCCCTTGTGCAAAGGTAATATTTAGTACTTAATTATAATGCAATTGTCTCTTATTCTATCTTTCATACACAATTTCCCCAAATTACCCCTTGGAGAAGTTACAAAAGAAACTGATTGAAGAGCTGAAAGGAACCTTCAAGATCATCTGGCCCAACACTCTTTGTCCACAGATGAGGAAATAGAAACACTGCAAGCGTGATTATTAGCTCTCTCACAGCCACATATCTAGTTAGTGGCAGAGACAGGACTAGAACCTCAGTTAAATTTGTCTGAAAGCTCTGTCTCTTAAAATTTACAAAACTCCATTCCTGCAGCATGCCATTAAGCACACACCTGTTCTCAGGACTTGGGGTGAGATAAAAATGTTGTATTGCTATAGCAATAACTCACCATTTTAGAAGTTACTTGAACTCTGCTCCATTATACAAACCTATCAGACCAAGTGTTCTAATTTTGGATTCAGGGATCATTAATGTGTCCATTTGGCAAATCCATGTATTTGTCCATTTGGCAAACATTTAATGCACACCAGTTTTGTGCCAGGAACCGCCATGGTCACTGAAGACACAAAAGACACTGTTACGGAGTCTAGAAGAAAAACCAGATCTTAGCCAAGACCATGACTAGTATTTACTAGGTGATTGGCCTATATAAACATTTTACATGGAACTTCTCATTTAATTCCTCGTGGCAATTATATACGGAGCTACTAATTATCTCCACTTTATAGATGAAGCAACTGGGAATTAAGAAGTGTAAGCAAGTTGCCTAAACTCAGATCACCTAAATGGCAGTCAGGCAAGTCCGCACGACTGCATTTACTCTGAATCTTTATGCCGTACTGCTGGAAATCCAAGCAGTCACCCAGGAGTGGTGGTGTTGGAAGGAGATCCATTGTGGAGGTAGAAACTGAGGAAGCAAATGAGGACCAGGAAAGGATGCCATAAGGGGGGTGACAGGAGTTGGGCCTAGAAAAGTGAGCGGGGTTGTATTTTATTTTGTAGATGAC